GAGTACTGTATCCAGTTTTGGGCTCCACACTTCAAGAAAGATGTGGACAAATTGAGGAGAGTCCAGAGGAGAGCAACAAAAATGATAAAAGGTTTAGAAAACCTGACCTATTAGGTAAGGTTAAAAAAACTGGGCATATTTAGTCTTGAGAAAAGAAGACACAGAGTGGCACCTGATAAGTCTTCAGTTAGTTAAGGGCAGTTTATAAAGAGGACAGTGATCAATTGATCTCCATGTCTACTGAAGATAGAACTAGAAGTAATGGTCTTAATTTGTAGCAAGGAAGATTTAGGTTAAATATTAGGGGGGAAAAAACTTTCTAACTGTAAGGATAGTTAAGCACTGGAATAGGTTACTAGGGGAGATTATGGGAACCCTATCACTAGAGGATTTAAAGAATAGTTAGACAAACACCTGTCCAGAATGGTCTAGTTATACTTGGTCCTGCCTTGGTGCAACGGAATGGACTAGTTGATTTCTTGAGGTCCCTTCAAGCCCATTTCTATGATTCTATGCTTGCTGAATTTATTCTTTTTTTGTGTTTATACTTTAGTGTGATTTCTTGAGGGGCCAAGTGGATCAAAATAGTTTCAAATATTTTAGCGTATAAATAATAAATGTTTTAACTGCCATTTTTAGTGAGGAGACTGGTACTGGGAATTAGATCATACAGACCAATCAGTGTGAGATTAAAATTTAGAATGACAGCTGAAATACTTGAGCTCTTAGAAACAGTTGATAATATTATGTATCTGTTCAGAGAGCTGGAAGCCAAGCACTGTATCATAAAAGCCCTGCAGGGCCACTGTGAAAGGAAATAATTTTAGAAGCAGCTAGAATTAATTATACTTTCAATGTCCTTTTTGCCTGCTTGTAGAAGTTACATCTTTGCAGCATTCTGTTCAGTTCTCCGCAGCTGAAGGCCACATTGTGCACATATTCTGTAGTTCTGTCTTGTATTAAGTTCATGCTTTGAACTTCAGGATCTTCTCTGTATTTGTGTGATCTCATCTCCAGTTTCATTCAAATTCCTTACTTAAAATCACCAAACCAAAAAACCCTGCAATAACAGTTTTGAAATGAATATTTTAAACCTGTCACAACAGAGAAACTTTATTGAGAGCTTTAAGACCCTGATCCTTCAAAGCAATCTGCCTGGGCAGTACCTTAGGACCACCGTGGAGTCCCGTATACAGTACTTTGATAGGAGTGCACCGAGGTTGTAAAGGTCTGCCTGCACACAATATTTTGAAGAATCAGACCTCAGGCTGCACTGTTAAGAATTCAGACGTGACTACAACAAAGTTAAGGTCCAAGACTGTCATTTTGTTCTGTGTCTAGCACAATGAAGTCCTCCTGGTCCATGACTAGGGCTCCTTGGTGCTATAGTAATACGATAATAACAAGGCCCCATGTACTTTGACACAAGGTGGACCTGTATTCTGCTGCAAAGCTGCTTTTGTTTCTGCAACACTCTGGTACATGAGAGACTAGAAATTCTGTGGAAGCTTTGTGCAAATTTTAAGATGGAATTTTTGTTTATTTAAATGTTAAAATGAATATTATTACTACTGTATCCTTTGTGTTACTTACTGTGTCTTGATTATGAAAAACTTACATGTATGTTTAACTTTATATGTTTTGAGTAATCCTGGTTAGATCAGCAGGGTTACTCACTGCACAGAGTTAAAAGTGACTCTATATAGCAGGGGTCAACGACCTTCAGCAAGCGACCCATCAGGGTAATCCGCTGGCGGGCTGTGAGACTTTTGTTTACGTTGACCGTCTGCAGGCATGGCCTCCCCGCAGCTCCCACTGGCCACAGTTCGCTGTTCCTGGCCAATGGGAGATGCAGGAAGCAGCGGGCTGCAGTGCTGACCGCCGCTTCCCACAGCTTCCATTCTCCAGGAATGGCAAACCACGGCTGTGGTGTCGGGGAGCATGCGGGGGGCCAGGCCTGCGGACAGTCAACGTAAACAAAATGTCTTGCGGCCTGCCAGTGGATTACCCTGATGGTCCGCATGCCAAAGGTTGCCGACCCCTGCTGTATAGGATCATTGCCGAAGTAAATTTAGTGTTTCATGTTTGGTGTTAACAACTCATTGAGCAGAACACCTCTTCTTGAACAATTGTTAGGTTGTCTGAAGAATTAGGAAGACAACACTGTCCTGTTTGTACATTTCTTATTATTATTTATATTAGTTCACATTTTACTGTTTTTCTTGCATATTTAAAGGTTGGAAACTTCATTAGTGTTTTAAATGAGAGCTTACATGTGGAGTACAATTATATGGCAAGAGTTAATTTCACTAAATATTGCAGACAAAAGATCATGGACTACAGAGGCCCCTGGTTAAGGTTGCACATACAACTTTACGTGAACTCCTGCCCCCTTGTGTTTATTCATTACAATACCATCTTTATTTAAATAATCACAAACTATTTCTCAAGTAATGCAGTATCATAAAGTGTTTATCTAAAACATACATACATATATGTAGTATCTTCTAGCAGGGTCTCATGTTCTCTGTATGCCAGAAAAACATAATCAGTTAATCATTTACTGTATAAAGTACAAAGCAGACGATATAAGCACAAGAGCACTTGAGCTTTAATGGGCAACACAGAGGACTAGTGGAAAGTTGTTTAATGTATATAAAAATATGCATTACAGTACAGTCCTTCATTATTTGATCACATATTACTTCTGAAATATAATATGATATATATAATACACAGAAATCTTCATAGCTATTCTGCATTGTCTACTTGTTTGTATATATTACACACAAAGAGCTACAATAAATGAATGTTAAGATTCCAAAGTCAAGCACTCAAAAGTAAGAAAATACCACTTTTAAGGTTGCCTATTTAGACTTAACTGGGCCCCTTCTGTGTATGCATTGATAGTCTTTAATTACATGATCACATCCTATTTTTTCTATAGGACCCTTGCCTCATTCAATGTACAGCATGGATGGTGCTCACTAAATAAGCAGCTATTTAGTGTTCCATTTTATCTTCGTCATCCAACGTGCTACCCCAGGCATTATTTATTGCATATTATTCACATCCTGCTCTAAATACAGAATTTATTCACTTCCTCATTGGTTTCTTTTGTAATGTTTCTCATCATTGTGTGTGTGTGTGAGAGTGAGAGAGACAGTGTGTGTGTGATTGTGTGTTGGGGGACTGTGACTTGTGAGAGGCAGAACGTATGTCGGTGTGAGAGTCTCTGTGTGTGTGTGTGTCTGTGTCAGTTAGGGAAGTGCACTTTAAGTCCCCCTCCCCTCCATCCCTCCCCCGCTTGGCCCGGCTCCCCGCCGCCCCCCTCCCGCTGACACACGTGGAAGTTTCACTCCTCCTGTCCTTGCGTAGGCAGGCAGGGTCCAGGGAGGGACTCCGCTCCGGGCAGTGGTGGGCCAGGCCGCTCTGGGTTCCCCGCGGCTGGGGCGGCAGACCCGGAGGCTGGCGCCCTCAGCTGGCTGGCCGAGGAGGGAGGGAGGGAGGGGGCAGGGTTGAGGTCAGGGAGAAGCCTGCGGGCCCAGCGCAGGGGAGGGGGCGGAGAAGAGAGGATTCCAGCCACGGCCAGCCAGGGGAATGGTGCCCATAATTTTCAGGTGCCCTACGCAGTCACGTATGCTACGTATGCCTAATAACGGCCCTGACTGAAGGTTTTATAGGACCTTGCAAACAGTGATGTATACACTCTAAATATCATTTCCAAGGCCAACAGCCATTAAGGCCCTGTGACATCTTGTTTGCTGGATTTTCCAGTGCCTAGGGCTGCCCCATTCAGAGTTTATCATAAACTTCCATTATTTCCTTTCTTTGTGCCAGTGAAGATCCTAGATGGTTCATGGGCCTGGTGTGGAAGGGAGTCCCTGGGGGTGAGGTTGTAGGAGAGTGAGCCCTCCTCACACCCAGCACTGGTGGCTCCTGTTCCATGGGGATGAGCCTGTCTCCTGGGTGTGTGTGTTGTGATCTCATGTGCGAGGTCACAGCAACACAGAGGGTCAGCTGGGCCAAGTTTTAGTGAGTGGCAGGCCAAATCTGAGTAGCACTGTAACCCCACGTGCCAGGTTGCAATGCCGCTGATTCAAATCTGACCCAGCAGCACTATTGATATATAAGGTATGGTAGCCCAAGGCCTGGTCTATGAGTGGGAGAACAGTGAAATTCCACCTCAGAATAGATAAAATCATGAGGTTTGACATCTTAGTGGGTGCATTTAGAGAGACTGGGAATCAATTCAGGGCTTTGGGAAATACCATCAATCTTTGAATCTAACTTGTTTTAATTTCAGCTACTGATTGATTTCCTAGATTTCATGCTGCAATGTATTTCTGAAGGATTATTATTCATTAAAGAAAACTAAGGATTTTAACTATATTAAAATGTCTTGATTTCAGATATAATCTCTGTACAGTTTATGGATTTCAAAACCTAGAGAAATGAGGGATGAGAGGAAAACAAGTGAGTTAGAACTAGAAATCATATGAGGATAGGGGAGCCTTCTGGTGAATTTATATGCCATGTTCATTAAATCAACATAACCAAATGACCCTTTTAGAAGAAGTCCTGAATGTTATACTATTATAGCATTTTCAAGTAGCATAACGCACTTGTTACAGCTTCTGTCATTCATAACATTGTTAAAAATAAAAATTGGAGGGCTGGGCCAATCAACCTTGTGTGGTTGTTCTGAATGTTGCCAATGGAAGAAGACAATGATTCAGTTTCCAGTTTTGGTGTCTCACTCTCCATACAGGCAAGGAAGGCCCTGCAGATTCTCCAGAGATAATGTTCTCAGCCATGTTTAGCTAGTCAGCTGTTCTCTCCTCCTTAAATTTCAAGGTAAAAATAAATTAGGGACATATAGTGTAATCCATACAGCATGATTTGCTTCTCATTTCTGTTACTTTGTTTGTTGTATGGTCCTGAATCTTTCTAATGTACATTTAAAAAAAATGACATGTCCTCTTTCTGCTTTCTTTCAGATTCATCTAATTCTTTTCACCGAGATGAGACTATTGTTATTGCCTTGGCCTCAGTGTCTGTATTAGCTGTTTTGATTGCTGCTATATTCTTTGGATATAGGATGCTTGCAGGTAGAATTTGATGTGCTTTTCTTTTTTCATATTATTCTTTTGACTGTTCTTCACAATTATAATTCCCTTACCTCTCTCTATTCCCACCCCTTTAAATACATTTCTTAATGGCCCATAGAAATTTATAAGGACTCCCACACGTTTTCAATGTGGGTTCCATTTTTCTTCCATGAATCCTCTGCTTAACAAATAGCTGGAGCGGAGCCATCAGTCTTCTCTAAGGCCAACACCAGTGGGATTCTGTGTCACACACGAAAGAATAATTGTGTAGCAAGTAGCCATCACCTTCCCAACCACCTACTCTTCCCATCTTAGTTTTACTAGCTCTGGGGAGAAGGGTTTGCAGTGTTACTCCTGGCTTGGCATGTCCTTCACTGTATCAGCCACTGTTGCTGTCAAGTCCCAGAATAGTTCTGTAACCATTCTCATATGTATTCTTGCATAAAATCTTAACTGTCAGAACTTTTGGTACCTGTATCTGCAGGGGACCGTAAGCAAGGTCTACACAGTATGAACATGATGGAGGCAGCAGCATCAGAGCCTTCACTAGACCTGGATAATCTAAAATTGTTAGAGGTAAGTATGCCACTCAGAATTTCTGCCTCTGTAATTTACTCTTCATTGTTTGCTCCACCTGTGATCAAATTACCTGCCAGATATTGTTGTAATATTTAAGAAACAGATATATGTAATAAATGTGCTATATTTTCCCACTTTTGTATTGTCCTGATTGTATCTGTTGTGAACTGCAGTAAAAACCATAAACAAAATCACTAAACAAATAGAGGTTACCTCAGAAATACCAGAAGCCAAAGACATTATTTTACCCTCTCTCTTTACTCACCAGTATCATTGATATTAGTCAGAATGTGCTCTTCTTTTAGAAGAGCATTAACTACTGAAGAGCAGTAAGGGGTACTTGCATATATTGTATTTCAATGTCACATCAGAAATGCTTTTTCTATTTGATAATAGCCATGTTAAAAATATTTAGAAGTACAATATCTTACAGTAATAGTGTGAAACATTGTTATAACATTACTGTAAGTATAGAATCTACTGTGGATTGCAGTAGTACATTTCAATAATAGTGGGGTGCTGCATGTTTCCTCAATCTCCTTCATGTCAAATAGTCTGCACAGTGAGGTGTTCCCCATGTCTATGGCAACTGGACGCAGTCCAGATCTTTTCTCTGGACCTCCGCTTAGGAATCAGGAATAACTCTCCAGAATTCTCTGCCTCTGGGTGGCACAAAAAGCTGACTCCAGGTCTCCCTTTGTATCAGAACTTTCAGAGGATGTATAAAAGATTAACAAAGTGTCTCTGTTTCTTCATTGACTTAGAGGTTTTTCTACCTCAAAACTGTTAAACTTAAAAAATTTAGCACTGAGGAGAGTTTGAAGGACAGCATTGCTGTCCCCGTGTCTCAGAAATGGCAGAGAATGACAGCAGGCCACAGGAACTCAGCTTCCATGTCCCTGTTGAGACACTGCAGTAGGCTGCAGGGAAGTCTGGCTTCTGATGGCATGTAGGCAAGGTCATCTCTAAGATAGCTGAGCAGGCCACAGTGAAACCAGCTCCAAGTTGGAGTTTGGGCAAGGTCTGTGCCAAGAGAGATGAGCTGACTTTATGGAAGCTTCCTTCACTAAGACCAGGCCAGAGTCAGTGACATGTTTTCGAGTCCCCATGTCTTCTCCCTTAGTCATGGGACTCCTGTTCGTAGAGTTTGCAGAGCAAACAGGAAGGTTTCACTGGAGCCTCCTGAATCTCCTGGGAAGGCAAGGTTGGTGGGAACCAGGAAGGAAAAAATTCCTGCTCCGAGCCATCGTGTAGTCAATGTCAGTGCTGAGGTGGTTGAGAAGGGTGCAAAGCATCCCCCCTTCCCACAAGTTGTTTTACCTGCAAGGCTTCACCTGTCATGAAAAGTGCCTTCATCTGGGAGTGAACCATCTCAGAAAATGAGTGCTTGAGATAGTGAGGGAAGGATATTCAGTAGAACTCACTCATTGTCCCAGGGAGAAGTTTATCCTTTCCCCAAAAAATAATAAACCAACACTATCAACAAGACACTTCATAGCATCAAAAGATGAAGGATGGGATTAGGAACTTTGCTGTGAGTTTTTTCTTAGACCTGTATGCCACAGAGCCTGTGTGTCCATCTGAGACTTGGCGGCTCCTTGAGGATCTTCTTAGAATCTCAGCATTGGATGTGGATGAACTTGAATAGGGTCTGACATGCTCAGAATTGACTTCTGCACTAAATGACTGTGCTCTAAGGAAGGCACATTGTATTGATGATTTGCCTATTGAGTTTTATAAGGCCTTTTGGCCCTTCTTGGGCCTGACTTGCTTCAGGTTTTTCAGGGGGGCATCAGAGACAACGGCTACTCAGTTGTCATCGAGCAGTTCTTCCTGTTGCCTAGGAATTGGGACCTTGGGGAGGTGAAGAATTGGAGACCTGTATTCCTGCTTTGCCCTGAATAGAACCTATTTTCAAATGCCTTGGCAAATAGACTGAACACTGATTGGTTCAGTCATGCACCCTGATCAGACCTATTGCGTTCCTACTAGTCCATTTTTGATAACCTTTTCCTAATGCGGGAGGTAATTTCAGCTTCAAAAATCTTTGATTTGCATATGGGGTTGATTTCCCTTGACCAAGAAAAGTCCTTTGATAACGTAGATCGTAGATAATTGTTTCGCGTCCTTTGTGCTTTTGGTTTTGAGCCCAGGTTTGTCCTCTGCATTCAGTTGCTGTATAATGAGATATATATACATATATAGTCTTCTTCTCAAGGTGAATGGTGTTTTGAGTGCCCCCTTTCCAGTCTGTAGGGCAGTGGTGGACAACCTGCGGCTTGCGGGTCACACGCAGCCTGTCAGGGTAATCCGCTGGCGGGCCATGAGACAGTTTGTTTACATTGACCATCCACAGGCACAACTGCCCGCAGCTCCCAGTGGCCGTGGTTTGCCATTTTCGGCCAATGGGAGCTGCGGGAAGCAGCGTGGGCCACAGGGACGTGCTGGCTGTCACTTCCCGCAGCTTCCATTGGCAGGGAACGGCGAACTGTGGCCACTAGGAGCTGCGGGAGGCTGTGCCTGCGGACAGTCAATGTAAACACTGTCTCGCGGCCTGCCAGCAGATTACCCTGGCCGCAGGATACCCACCACTGCTGTAGAGGAATCAGACAGTGTTGTTCCCTGTCTGGATTATTATATGGTCTTTCTATGAAGCCTCTGTTATGCGTGTTGCAAAAGCACCTTTCTGGCCTTTCTCTCCTGTTTGAGCTTGTGTCCCGGTGAGTCTCCAAGTAAGTTGATGATGTGACTCTGTTTATTACTCATGATTGTGATGTTCAGGTTTTGACTGAATGTCGGCACTCTTTTGATCAGGCTTCATCAGTTCTCATAAATTGAGAGAAGAGCGACCCACTCCTGCTGAGGCTTGGGTGATCTCTTGTCCCCCGACTGTGCTAGGGGGCTGTTGTGGAGCCGAACTGGTTTAAGGCACTGGGAATTATGCTGGGACTGGATTATGTTTTGGGTCAGAACTGGGAGGGAGTTATGGAAAAGTGGAAGTTAGTTAGATTTTCTAGATTTTCCCCCAATAGATTATAACAATTTTAAATTAGGGCAAATATAGAACCTAAACAAGCTGAAAGTATGTATGTCTTTAAGGGTGATATGCAAACCACTAAAAGCTAGGAGAGGTTGAGACAGCATCCTTAACTCATAGCTTTTGTTCTTTGGGTTTGCAGTACATACAACAAGTAAGATTACTTAGTGCTCATAAACTCGCTAAAAGAGGACACATACTACAGTTAACTGTGAACAGTGAGGTCATGCATGAGCTAAAAAACATTTACTTTGCAAATTATTGTATTAGATGGTAAAGAAAACTAGTTAGCAGTGCAGAAAAAAATGGGTTTTATGTGTGCTGTGTTTTTTAAAAAATATGCTGAATAAATGAGTTAATTTATACATTTGGAGCATAGAGAAATGGAATAAGGTCTAGTTTTGCCTATGGTTGCTTGGAATGTCATATAGACTTTTGGACAACATTGCATTATTGTTACACAGTACAATGTATTCACTACGGTGTGTCAGTGTGCTTGTGCGGAAGTGACATTTTCATGATGCATTGCCGTGTAGGATCTGCAGCTCCTTCAGGGCCTTCTATACAAAAACTATGAAATGTCAGCAGATTGTTTTGCAGCCACCATTTTTTATTTATTCCTTTTGAAGGTCTAAGTCCCAGTGGCTGCTTTAAAAGCTCTATTTGGGATTTAAAAAACAATTTCAAACATAGAAATGTTTTCAATTGCTTGGTTTTAAAACAAATTTTTAAATAACATTTTTAAACTATTCTACCCTAAAAGGTGAATATTTATTTTTAGTAGTGCCCTATAATTATTGTGTCTTGCTAATTTCATATCAAGATTGTTCCATTTAGAAATAAAAATATGGGTTTTTTTTAACTGCTAGATGCAAATTCTCCTTGGGTTCTGAGAGCCAGTCTTGCTTCTTTTCTTCTCATGCATCTTAATAAATATATTTCAGTGCTAATTATGCCCTCAGTTACACCTGTGCAACTCTGGCTGAAGGCTTATGAGACTGCACAAGTGTAATTGATAGCATCATTTGAAGATAATGGGATGCTTAGATGTAACTGAGTGCATAATTTGTGCTGCAACATTATCATCACTGGTGGCGAAGTGGGAAAAGGAAGGAACCTGGCTTGACTCAGGCTGACTTAGCAGCTGGCATTTGGAAAAGGATCATTTTATTTTTAATTTCCAAACTTTTAGCAAGATGTCTGTGAAAATAAGTGAGACACAATAAACATGGAGTTCTGCAATGCCATTTTTACAATGTAACTACTCAAAGTAGAACCACAGTTGTAAATTGTGACACTGTGCTGGCGTTCTTGGAACCATGAGCCACTGTGTTACTCCTCTCAGCCTCAGCAAGTGAGAGCTTTGCTGCTGCTAAGCTATGTGTTAGCTCCCTGACACACCAGCTTGTCTGCAGTGCCAGCAAACTCTCTTCAGGACTTTGCCAATCCAAACCTTGCTTAGCAGGTTAGAATCAGTGAACTCTAGTTCCTGAGTTCCCAGAGACATCTTTTTCTCCAGTGCACAGCCCCTCTGTCTGTAGGACCTACAAAATCTTACGTTCGCTGCCCCCTTTAAAGACACAGAACACAGCATCTTATTAACTTGACTAGGGGGTTAACAGACCCTTCCCTTCCATCAAAGCACTGAGTTGGTTTATGGTAAAAGTAAAACCAGTTTATTAACAAAAGGACCTATGTTTAAGTGATACCATGTATAAGGAATAAGGATAGAAATGGTTACAAACAAAAGTAAAAAGATGCTTCTAAGACTAAAACTCAGCTTCAAACTAGTCTTTTGTTCAAAGAAGTTTTTCTCACCACAGTCATTCTTCCAGCATGGCAAACCCATTCTTTAGCCACAGCTCAAAGCACTTGATTTCCTTCGCTTTCAGGTGAAGGATGATTTAGGGGTTCACTCCCCCCCCACAGTCCAATCAACCTTTGAAATGCTGAAGAGTGTCCCCAATAAAGTTCCTTTCTCCTGCTGGATGTAAAAGTCACACTGTCTGGTGTAGATGCTATGCTGGCTTCTTCCTCATTTATGATTTTTTTTACAATGCAAATGATCTTCCTGCAATCTCCAATACCCATTGTCTTTTGGCCTTACCTGGCTTGAATAACATGGGATACACACTCAAGCAGGCAGACCCACATTCCTTTGGCTAGAAAAAAATCTTTTACCTGCATGATTGGTTTACAGACTGCAAAACATAATATAAGAGAGTATGTGTAATTTTATATATAGTGTTAATGTGTACATTTCACAATGATATTAATCACCAGGGTGTCAGCTGTTCGCATCCGATACCTTACATGACACCTTTTAGATACAGATTATGACAGCAGTGAGTTGGGGTACTGGACTGGTCAAGCCAGCTGAAACTCAGTGCTAGGTACCAGGGAGTCCCTTGCCTTCTGGGTTTGGGACACCTTTAGGATCACATAAATGCAGCTGTAGGATCTGTCTTCTCTGAGAACCAAATTCAATACAGTGTTCAAAACTTCATCATTTACTTGGAACCCTGCTCTTTCCGTCATGGGGCAGTAACAGTTTTAAAAACAAACTCTTTAAACTGGAGTCAGAGGTCTGTATTCCAAAAATGTGCGCACACGTGTATTTCTTTGCCTGTACATAATGAGTAATTCCTTGTGGAAGAATAGTGCCATGCCATTATCAAATTTTAGTGTGTGTATGCATTTATTCCATGCAAATCTGAACCTCAATTTTATGAAAATGTATTTCTTGAATTCTGACACTGTATTTGGTAATACATGTTGAGTATATGATAGTGCAATTTAAAATGTGGCCCATACCTATACATATCCATTCTACCTTGCAGCGTGAAAACCTCACTTGATCATTACCATTTGAATCAATGTAATGACTACTTTAAACTTTTTACAGCTGATTGGCCGGGGGCGATATGGAGCAGTGTATAAAGGTTCCCTAGATGAGCGTCCAGTGGCTGTAAAAGTATTTTCCTTTGCTAACCGCCAGAACTTTATCAACGAGAGGAACATTTACAGAGTCCCACTGATGGAGCATGACAATATTGCCCGCTTCATTGTGGGAGATGAGCGATTCACTGCAGATGGACGTATGGAATATTTGTTGGTGATGGAATATTATCCCAATGTAAGTGCTTCATAGAAAATAAATTGGTTTGTTTTGTATACCTAAGAATAGCAAAATAGAGAGGATGCAGTACTGTCCACACTGGCGCTTAGGCCGGTATAACTTATGTTGCTCAGGAGGGGTCTTATTCACACCCTAGAGCAATGTAAGTTATACTGAAATAAGTGGTAGTGTAGACCTGGCCTAAGGGATTAAGGGGTGAGTAGCTACCCCCTCAGCTGTGGCTAATTGGTTGATCAGCAACAGTTGAGATAAGAAACGGCAGCCCAGGCAGAAGGGGGTTGCTGTCAGAGAGGCTGAGAACCACTTTGTACCAGTAGTAGACTGGCAAACAGCTATTCAAGGAACAGGATTAGAAGCCCCTGAGGACTGATATGAGACTGCTGGGGAGGGCACAGAGACCCTAAGCAAGTATCACTTCTGCTATATTCTCTGAGTTAGAGGAGATAGGAATATGACATAAGGATTTGAGAATAGTTGGAGTTGAACTAGAAGAGCAAAGACATAAAGGACCAGTGTACTTCAAAGGGGCCTGAGGCCAGGCAAGAAAGACTGAATCACCTCACCTTAATTCTCCCATGGCAAATAAATTGAGTTATATGCCATTTATGGTGTGCGTGTTATGGGGGTGGGAGGTGGAGAGTAATCTTTCAGGTGAGATCTTAAAAACTAAGGATAAGTCTGGTTGCTCCATGTGGACGTTAAAGACCTCATGGTATATTTGTTTAAAAAAGATAGGCAGGAAGTGAGACTGATGGGAACAATTTCCTCCATACCCTTTGCCAAAATGTTGTGTAGTATGCTTTGTTCTGGTTGATTTGCAGACCTCATACCAGAAGTGGGTGAATTTCATCATTGGGGTGTGTGTGTATACATTATAACTAATATTATATACATTAATAATGATGAAATTATTATAATAAAATCATTGAAGTGTATGTGAAATATATATAACAAACACAAGCTTTAATTTTATTTCAGAATTATTTATTTGATTCTTGTTGGTTTTAATATATAAAATAGTTAATATATTCAGGCAGTGGGATAACTTTTAAAAATGAGATTTGTCCTTGTGTAACTAAGCTACTAATACCATATTCACTACTGTCCAGAAGGATGAGGGCTGTGGGATGAGTCTTTGGGGAGAAAATGGGTGGGGAGCATCAGTGTTCAAACAGGAATGGAATATCCAAGTGCAATTATTTTAATCAATAGTAATAATTATTTCTTTATATTTAAATGCTTCCCATCCAAGATATTTTAAGCTTTTTTTTATGTATATATATATATATATAAAATTTATTTTTAAAAGCCAAATGATGTGACATAACTTATAAAGGAGACAGTGCCCTAGGTGCCAATGATTACAATTGAATGCTATGAAGGATGTCTTAGGTGACAGTGATTAAAATAGAAAATGTCTCTGAAAAAGCATAGCAGTGATAGATGGATGTGTAAGCAGAAAGACCTCTACAAACCAAGAACTCCCACAGGAAAAGCTCAGTCTCATGCACACCTCAGGTGCAGTGGTTTACATAAGCAAAAAATGTGCTCTGATTATATATCAGAGATATTCTGAGATGTGTGATGTAAAAGGTTAGAGTATTGTCAGGCAGTGAGGTATTAACCTTTTTGTTATAAATCACTTTCCCAAACTTAAGTGATCACTCTCTTGATGTGTACATGATCCATTTCCATTTTTTCATGTTCTGTGTGTATATAAATCTCCTCACTGTTTTTTCCACTGAATGCATCCGATGAAGTGAGCTGTAGCTCATGAAAGTTTATGCTCAAATAAATTGGTTAGTCTCTAAGGTGCCACAAGTACTCCTTTTCTTTTTGCGAATACAGACTAACACGGCTGCTACTCTGAAACCTTTCCCAAACTTAATTTTCTGGTTGAAATTTTCCACATTTGGTCTTAATCTGAGAGAGAGAGAAAATTGTTCTTGAAAGATCAAGTAAAACTAGTTCAGCTAATTTTCAAATTTGAGGACAGTGGAAAAAATATGCTTTTGCCATTGTGCTATTTATATACCTGAGTATGAAATGAGGCTGGTCTTATAGGCAAACATAGTATGCAATCATGTAAATAAGCACTGTATTGTAATGCATATACTACCCTGGGGGAATTCTGCACCACTGTGCAATGCAGAATTTGTGCAGAATTTCCTTTCCCCCCCAAGAACTGGGGACATTAGACCCAGCAGAGACCAGCTCCCTAGCTTGCAAATATAAGACACTGCTGGGAGGAGGGGGAGCTGGAGAGTTCCCGGCAGCTGCATTTCCCAGCATGTCCTGAAGGAAGGTGGCAGTGTACAAGAAACTCCGTACGAGCCCAGGACTCAGCATCAGGCTGTTTCTCCCTGTGGAACACTGGGCTGTAAGAGGAGGGGCTGCGAGTGTCTGGACTTGGGGGCACCCCACAGCTGAGCTCTGGGGACTGGGGATGTGGCTGTCTGTTCTGAAACATGCCCCACATTTGGGCTCTGGGGATAGGAGATGTGGGTGTCTGGCCTGAGGGGGGGTGCCCAGTGGCTGGGCTCTGGGGGAAGGGGGTGCGGGTGTCTGGTCTGGGGGAGCACCCCAGGGCTGGGCTCAGGGAGGGGTCAGAGGATGGGCGTGCCTGGGCTGGAGGGTGCCCTATGGCTGGGCTCTGGGAGGTGGGGAGGTTTAATGGACTGTAATGTCAATAAGACTACTTGCATAAAGGAGTGCTTGTGGGAGTAAAGATTGGCAGGATCTGGCCCTTATTTTACTGGAAATCTTGCATCTTCCAGATAGAAGAGACTGGAGTTTTTCCTCTGGACACTCTTTGAAATTAAGAGCTATCTAGAATCTTTTCAGTTCCCAAAATGAGAACATTCAGTTTCTCTTTCAGATGTGTTCCTCCACAGCTTTGTTAGGAGCTCTATTTTCTTAACTTCTCTCAGTGGGAAAGAGGATCATGATGTTCCTGTTTCTATCCCTGCAATGTTTGTTGACTGACTGAGGGCTTGTCTACACTTATAGCGCTTAGTGAAGACGCTGTCTACGTCGACATATATAGTCCACCTCCCAAGTAACTATGTCAACGGGACAAGCCCTCCTGGCTACGTAGTGCTGTCTACACTGCAAGTTTGGTTGGTATGAATGTGTTGCTCAGGGGTGTGGATTTTGCACCATACTAACATAAATTGGTAGTGTAGACCAAGCCTAAATCTGCTGGAACTGGGAAAATACCATAAACCTCTTATTATGGCTAAAATCTTGATATTGTTCAAAGTCCACCATTTTGTACTCAACATAATAGTTTCTTCAATTACCTTTGTTCAGGCACTGTTCATCAGGAATTTCAGAATATTATAACAGCTGCAAAAAATAAATGAGTCTCTTGGTTTATCTACTTTCATTGTCTGACTAAATCAAAAAAACAATAGCAGCAGCAAACACTGATAAAAGTAAAGTTGGGCTCTGATCCAGCAACTGATAGCATGCAGGTAGACTGATGAGCAATTTCAGGATCAAAGTCTTAGGGAGCACTGCGTGTGATGTGGACCCTTGAAAAGGTTTTGATTTGGTTATTTAACGTGATAAAATTTCAGTGCACTGTTTTTACTCTTTCTCTAGGGTTCTTTGTGCAAGTATTTGAGTCTTCACACCAGTGACTGGGTGAGCTCCTGTCGTTTGGCACATTCGGTAACCAGGGGTCTGGCATACCTTCACACAGAGTTACCTCGAGGAGGTATGGTCAGGAAGGGAAATGTTTATACCACAATAACTGGGATGGTATCAGACAGTAGTTGGGGGCGGGGGGTTGTTGTTTTGTTTTTAATGTTAGTAGCGAAGAGAAAATGTATGGTTTGAGACGTTAATTAATGTGAGCAAATGATGACTCAAAATACAGACTACACAGAGCTTCCTGTAGTACATTCTGATCTCCTGAGTATTCCAGGACCGTGATGTAGATCTGTAGACACTTTTATGAAAATGTGGAATGAGAGACAACAGAATCCTATAAACAGGCAAGCAAGAAGCAGAGTTGCACAATGATGCTGTATCATAGCAACAGATTACTAAAGACCTATGGATTTAACATACAGTATCTCAATGAAAGAAAATGGATGAAGTGTTCTGATGTGTTGTGCAGTTCAGTTATAGGTAACTGAACTAGTGTATGTGGTTTAAAAAAGAGTGGGTATGATGTATATGGAAGGAAAACACTTAAATCTTCTGATTTATTGTAGTTTTATTTTTCATACTATATCATTTTTTATTTCAGGACAAAAAGAAAAGGAGTACTTGTGGCACCTTAGAGACTAACCAATTTATTTGAGCATGAGCTTTCGTGAGCTACAGCTCACTTCATCGGATGCATACCGTGGAAATTGCAGCAGACTTTATATACACACAGAGAATATGAAACAATACCTCCTCCCACCCCACTGTCCTGCTGGTAATAGCTTATCTAAAGTGATCATCAAGTTGGGCCATTTCCAGCACAAATCCAGGTTTTCTCACCCTCCACCCCCCCACACACAAATTCACTCTCCTGCTGGTAATAGCCCATCCAAAGTGACAACTCTCTACATAATGTGCATGATAATCAAGTTGGGCCATTTCCTGCACAAATCCAGGTTCTCTCACCCCCCTCCAAAAAACACACACAAACTCACTCTCCTGCTGGTAATAGCTCATCCAAAGTGACCACTCTCCCTACAATAAGAAAAGGAGTACTTGTGGCACCTTAGAGACTAACCAATTTATTTGAGCATGAGCTTTCGTGAGCTACAGCTCACTTCACCGATGAAGTGAGCTGTAGCTCACGAAAGCTCATGCTCAGATAAATTGGTTAGTCTCTAAGGTGCCACAAGTACTCCTTTTCTTTTTGCGAATACAGACTAACACGGCTGTTAATCTGAAATCTCCCTACAATGTGGGCCATGTCCAGCACAAATCCAGGCTTTCTCACCCCCCCCCCCGTTTTTTTTTTTCCAGGGACACACACACACACACAAACTCACTCTCCTGCTGGCAATAGCTCATCCAAACTGACCACTCTCCAAGTTTAAATCCAAGTTAAATCAGAACGTCTGGGGGGGGGGGGTAGGAAAAAACAAGGGGAAATAGGCTACCTTGCATAATGACTTAGCCACTCCCAGTCTCTATTTAAGCCTAAATTAAAAGTATCCAATTTGCAAATGAATTCCAATTCAGCAGTTTCTCGCTGGAGTCTGGATTTGAAGTTTTTTTGTTTTAAGATAGCGACCTTCATGTCTGTGATTGCGTGACCAGAAAGATTGAAGTGTTCTCCGACTGGTTTATGAATGTTATAATTCTTGACATCACATTGGTGGATGTGCAGGTGAACGAGCCTCTGATAGTGTGGCTGATGTTATTAGGCCCTGTGATGGTGTCCCCTGAATAGATATGTGGGCACAGTTGGCAACGGGCTTTGCTGCAAGGATAAGTTCCCGGGAAACCTACTGACCGCTATTCCTACCTACATGCCTCCAGCTTTCACCCTGACCACACCACCCGATCCATCGTCTACAGCCAAGCTCTGCGATACAACCGCATTTGCTCCAACCCCTCAGAGACAAACACCTACAAGATCTCTGTCAAGCTTTCTTACAACTACAGTACCCACCTGCGGAAGTAAAGAAACAGATTGATAGAGCCAGAAGAGTTCCCAGAAGTCACCTACTACAGGACAGGCCTAACAAAGAAAATAACAGAACGCCACTAGCCGTCACCTTCAGCCCCCAACTAAAACCCCTCCAACGCATTATTAAGGATCTACAACCTATCCTAAAGGATGACCCAACACTCTCACAAATCTTGGGAGACAGGCCAGTCCTTGCCCACAGACAGCCCCGCAACCTGAAGCAAATACTCACCAACAGCCACATACCACACAACAGAACCACTGACCCAGGAACTTATCCTTGCAACAAAGCCCGTTGCCAACTGTGCCCACATATCTATTCAGGGGACACCATCACAGGGCCTAATAACATCAGCCACACTATCAGAGGCTCGTTCACCTGCACATCCACCAATGTGATATATGCCATCATGTGCCAGCAATGCCCCTCTGCCATGTACATTGGTCAAACTGGACAGTCTCTACGTAAAAGAATAAATGGACACAAATCAGAGGTCAAGAATTATAACATTCATAAACCAGTCGGAGAACACTTCAATCTCTCTGGTCACGCAATCACAGACATGAAGGTCGCTATCTTAAAACAAAAAAACTTCAAATCCAGACTCCAGCGAGAAACTGCTGAATTGGAATTCATTTGCAAATTGGATACTATTAATTTAGGCTTAAATAGAGACTGGGAGTGGCTAAGTCATTATGCAAGGTAGCCTATTTCCCCTTGTTTTTTCCTACCCCCCCCCCCCAGACGTTCTGATTTAACTTGGATTTAAACTTGGAGAGTGGTCAGTTTGGATGAGCTATTGCCAGCAGGAGAGTGAGTTTGTGTGTGTGTGTGTGTGCCTGGAAAAAAAAGGGGGGGGGGGTGAGAGAGCCTGGATTTGTGCTGGACATGGCCCACCTTGATTACCATGCACATTGTAGGGAGAGTGGTCACTTTGGATGAGCTATTACCAGCAGGAGAGTGAGTTTGTGTGTGTTTTTTGGAGGGGGGTGAGGGGGTGAGAGAATCTGGATTTGTGCAGGAAATGGCCCACCTTGATTACCATCCACATTATGTAGAGAGTTGTCACTTTGGATGGGCTATTACCAGCAGGAGAGTGAATTTGTGTGTGGGGGGGTGGAGGGTGAGAAAACCTGGATTTGTGCTGGAAATGGCCCAACTTGATGATCACTTTAGATAAGCTATTACCAGCAGGACAGTGGGGTGGGAGGAGGTATTGTTTCATATTCTCTGTGTGTATATAAAGTCTGCTGCAATTTCCACGGTATGCATCTGATGAAGTGAGCTGTAGCTCACGAAAGCTCATGCTCAAATAAATTGGTTAGTCTCTAAGGTGCCACAAGTACTCCTTTTCTTTTTGCGAATACAGACTAACACGGCTGTTACTCTGAAACCTGTCATTATTTCAGGACAAAGATCATATCTTTTTGATGTATAAATGACATCACCTACGTACTTTAATGCTTTATTACAGCACTAGATGGGGCAACATACTGATATAAGCCTTTTTCTTCTGTGCTTGCAAGCTTCATTTAATATTTTGGGAGCTAAAGTATCGTGATTATATACCAGACTTATTTGGAGATGCGTGATGTAAAAGATTACAGAGTATTGTCAGGCAGTGAGGTATTAGGCTTTTTGTTTCAAATGGAAAAGATAAAAAACTGTGGAAAGGTTAGTTCACCAGTAACTAGTAGAATTTGAGAGGGTGCTGAATTTTAGATTAAAAGCAACGTTACATAAAAATAAGTATTGATATTTGCTAAAGACAGTGAAAAATAAAGAAAAATAGCTATATAAATACCAGGCTGGTGTTACCATACTTGGAATTCATGTATGCAACCACCACCTTAATTTAATCATTTTGAAATGTACATCCAGGTCTCTCCATAAGCAGCTATAATTGTGTAAGCCTTCCACCACCATAGAGATAGAGTAATAGACTGATTTGTAAAAGCCAGCAAGGAGCTCACAAAGTTTAAGAAACTCCTATGGTTCTATGAACATCAGATCATAACAAAACCACCTCTATAGTCTTGGCTGTTGTAGTAAACAAGTCTCGATTCAAATAATGGATATAAACTGTTCCACTGTCTAGCAGTAGTAACTTGAGAATTCATGATAAGAGCATTGCCAAGCCTCTGTAATAAACCTTTCCAGAAAGCCATATTATACAATTTATAGTGAAAGCCACAAAAATTTGCTAAAAACATCAAGACTGCAATTAAAACCCCCTGGCTGGCCCATGCCAGCTGTCTTGGGCTCATGGGCCTAGGGCTAAGGGGCTGTTTAATTGCTAGGTAGATGTTCAGGCTTTGGCTGGAGCCCAAGCTCTAGAACCCTGCAAGGTGGGAGGGTCCGAGAGCTTGGGCTGCAGCCTGAGCTGAAAACGCTACACTGCAATTAAATAGCTCCTTAGCTCAAGACCCACGAGTCCAAGTCTGATGGCCCAGGCCAACCATGGGTGTCTAATTGCAGTGTAGACTTACCCAATGTGTGTTCAGTTGTCCAACTGGAGTAATAAATTGAAGAGGAATCTGAGGTTCTCCTGTGGGGCAACTGAGATCCATTGCAGGATAAGTGTGTTCAATCACTGGAATAAGTGTGAGACATATACTGATATAAGTGCCCCCATCTGTCCAATTTCTGCACAGACACTGAGATAATTATAGTGAATTGCTGGTGCTTTCTTTTAAATGAGGACTCTATGAATATGGTGATCTCATTTGGACTGGCCATTAGATCAGCGACAGTGGATCCATGCTTAAATACGCTATAGCTGCACTGCCCAAAAATGCTGATCTACTGGAATCAAAAGAAGCTTGTTGACTATTTATTAGATCTATGTATCACAGTTATATAATAATGCATAGCATATAAATAGCAAAATATCATGAACACCTGTCAGTGTTTCAGTAGGTAATAGAGGATGTTGCAGTGGACACTGTAAGCAGGGAAAATTGTTAGCGGCCTTAAAGAAAAAAGTTCAATAAAAAACGAGAAAACACAGTTTGGTTCCTCTTTTGCCAAGCAGTAGAGCTACTCAAGTAATAATGAACACTTCCATCTATCCAAATAGACCATTATAAACCTGCAATTTCCCATCGCGACTTGAACAGCCGTAATGTATTGGTGAAGAATGATGGAACATGTGTAATTAGTGATTTTGGATTATCCATGAGATTAACTGGAAATCGACTGGTACGTCCGGGCGAGGAGGACAATGCAGCCATTAGTGAGGTGAGCATGAATTAAGAAAAAACAATGATGGGCATCTGTAAATGGTATCTAGCAAGAGAAAAATGAATTTAGAAGCAATATTGAGATACTTGCTCCTCAAGTCATAGGGTAAATCCAGTGGCTGCACAATTTCTATGAAGGGGAGATATTGAAAAGAGTGGGTTATAAAATTGGGGTGATGAGATTCTTTGGCCGTTTTAATAAAATATTTTAAAACAAATGTGGTGTTTTTGAAAGAGGACATATGGACAGCCATGGAGTTGGAAGTCCTCTTTCAATAGAATAGGTCTGACAGGTCAGTGGCAGTGCGCATTTTCCCACAAAAGCCCCTTGGTCCAAACTTGGGGAGACCACTGCTAGGTCCCAGAGAGTAATTGACTCTCCACAGCAATTCAATCCTTTGTCTCTCTGTTGAGATCTGTAAACATAGGTGCAATTGCAATGAGGTTTGTTGTGGTGTGGATACACAGTCTTTAGGTCTTGTACTGAGATTGCTAGTTCATTTCCTATAGGCCCCAAACACCCTTCAGATGGTAATGAACCCTCAACTGGATTTGAAGCAGTAGCATAGAAGTAAAGTCTCCATGTCCCACTTCCAGCTTTCTACAAGCCATTTAGACCCTTCCATCATCCCCTGAACATCATTATATGGTCTAGTTGTGGAGAGTGGGGGGTGATGGCCCATGCAAGGATGCTTAAGAATCTGCTTTCTGTAACTTGTAGAAGCACGAATACAGTGAAATCTGAATATAGGAAACTCAATTATAGTGAAGCACTGCTTTAAGTGAAGAAGAGTGCTTCAGTCCATTTCAGTGGACTTTGAATTCCCTTACAGTGAAGTCTCACTTCTCAATGTGTGTTCAACTGTGTTAATCTAATTCCCTTGGAATTCAGCTATAATAGTAATAATAATAGTAATATACTATAAATAAATAATGCGTATTGCTTAGATGTTAATTTTCTAGAAATACAGAACTCAATGCCTAACTGAAGAAAGAAGCAGAGAGAGAATAAGTTACCACTTTTTAAAGGGCAAGCATAAGGAACAGTCCCTGGCACCTAACCCTATCCAATGGGTAACGAAGAAGGGCTGGTCTGACTGTGCTATCTATTCCCCAGTGAGAGTAAATATGTGTGGAGATAGACATGCGAGTAGGCATACAGTTGTCAACGTTTCCTGAACCTGCAGGAAATAAGGGGAGGCCCTGCCAACGTTCCTAGGTGAAGAAGATGAATTATTTTCCCTGCAGATAATAGGTTATCTCCTGTTACCGTAAAATACTCTGCTATAAAGTGAAGTTACTTGTGAAATTATCATTCCTCTATCAAAGGCTTTCCACTGTGTCCTGCTGAATATGAGGACACAATACAAGGGACATAATCATTTATTTTGCATGTATTTGATAAGTACAACAGAAGCAACATAGTGCAGGAAAAGTTTTATTGTGACTAGGCTGGTGATAAGAGGCTAGAGTCCAAGGATATACATAATGGAAGTAACTGCTTTTTCTTCTAAGTGATAGAAAACACAAGGTAGGGTAAGAATAATAAATAAGATCTGTAATAAACTGAGTCAAATGTAGGCTTTACCTTGTGAGTTAAGAGTGCAACCGTTTGTTCCTACAGGTTGGTACAATCCGCTATATGGCTCCTGAAGTGCTAGAAGGAGCAGTGAACTTGAGGGACTGTGAATCTGCTCTGAAACAAGTAGATATGTATGCACTAGGCCTTATCTACTGGGAGATCTTCATGAGATGCACAGACCTCTTCCCAGGTAACTAAAGGATTGATTGAAATAATGAAGTTAATAAAAAACATGGATCAGAAACCAAATTTGTGTTCTCACATTTTAAAAATACAATCCATTACACTTGTGTCACAGAATAGATTTTTCTTAACTGTCTATCACCATTATCTCAGTGCCATCTAGTGTTAAGGATTTCATTGAAATTAGTACAGTGTACTCAGTTGTAATACAGTGGCCATGGATGAAACACATGTCCTTGTATAGTTCATTTGCCCTGTTAATCATCAGTATGTGCAGCCCATTGAATTGATGTAGCATCCCAGGTTTTTCTCAAACAGCCCTTTCGAGTGTTCATGGAAAGTTGCGATGATTCAATGGGGATCTTCACAGCTACTCCTTTAGCTGAACTTTATGCTAAACTTTTTTGATACCAGTGTCCCCTGAAAACTCACTCAGTGCCTGTAATATGGTAGAAGGGGAAATGGGCAGGTCAAGTGGAACCCACGGGAATGCAGCCCACAGCCACTCTTGTATTTATTTCTGAGGTGTAGCTTGTGGATTTAACCGGTGCTGGCATGTAGTATTCCATCTATAGCCGAACAGCTGTACATTGCATGCAGGGACCTATAGTCTTATTATGCCTCCTTCCAATATTAAATACAATCTGTTTTGTTTCATACAAATTAGATGTGTCCCACAGATTCCTGGCCAGTTGCCAATGCACCCATCAATTGGGCAAAGTTCTGAGTGCCTCCCAGGGTAGTTCTAAACAATGACTTGTTCTTATTTAACTAACTCAACTGCATGTTGTTAATTTAAAAATTCTGTTTTAAGGGAAAGGGGAAAAAACGTCATTGGGAGCAACCTCCATGCCACCTCCTCCCCTGTAAAAGTTCTTGATTCACTGTTCTTTTTCTTATAGCTGTGATTTCATTATGGGGTTTTTGTTTGTTTGTTTTTCTTTCCCAACAGGGGAGTCGGTGCCAGAGTACCAGATGGCATTCCAGACAGAAGTTGGAAACCATCCCACTTTTGAAGATATGCAAGTACTGGTATCTAGGGAAAAGCAACGACCCAAATTCCCAGAAGCTTGGAAAGAGAACAGCCTGGTGAGATAGAAAGTTAAAAAGATGCATTTGCTTGAGCCAGCTAAGTCATGCTCTCACTTTTCAAAGCCAGATGTTGAATACATTTTTCTTCTACTTGACATTTAATATTTAAAGTTCTAGAGCTGCTCCAGGCTGGACTTTTAAAAATACTGAATTCAGTTTAAAAGAATTCATTGTTATAAAACACTTCAGTTTAAAACTAGGGGTTTTAAAAGAGAAATATCGTAATTACCACTGGATTTTTAGGTATTATAGGTGCAAAAGCACATTATATTTGTATATGCCAAGTGCCCAAATTTCAACATAAACAAGACAGAAATATCAAGACATTCCATATCTGGAAATTTTATAAACTAAGAATGCCCCAAAATTTTAGCTAGTAAAAATTACATAGTACTTGCTATTGAAGCTAAGCAACATAAGAATTGTAAAGCTGAGTAGTTTCTTAAATTATATCTTCTTTTGCCAAGATGTATATTCTTCAGCATTTGCAGAGCCTACAGCTTTCACTGATCATTTGATAAATATTACCAAATTGAAGATATATCATGCTTCTTATTAATTTGATATTCATGTGAAAATTTTATATTCTCAAAAAATATAAAAAAGGCAGTCTTCTGGTTAGGAGATGAGAAAAATCTCCCAACTTTTGTCTGTTGCACTGAGCCCATACAGCACTGAGAGTCTCTGTTGCACATTACTCCCTACTTAGTAATTGAGTTAAAATAATCTCTGTAAATTGTGGGTGATCTTTAGGCTGTTTATTAAAGATAGAAAATGCAAAGTATGATGATTTACATGTTTATTTCACAACAAATATAAAAATAGTCAAAGTGATGAGAGAAATTGTGGGTAAAAAAAAAATAAATGGGCTAAATATTTGGCTTTTAATAAAAGTGATATTTTAGTTGTATTATTTCAATGGCTGAAATTGTCTTCTTGAACCATCAGACACTTTGGTAGTCAACATGTAATGACCTGCACTCTGCAGGTGATAGGGAACCTAAGGCCATATCTGCTCTCGCATGTGTCAGCATGTCTTAAACCATTTCAGATATGGGCACAATTTACTGTAGTAATGTTATTGCACGACATTGTGATGTTTTTGAAAAAGTGAAACTACGTAGAAACTGTTGCACAGTTTCATCCATGTTGTTCAAGAAAACCATGCTGCAACTGTTCTCACTACAGCACTGTTGTTACATTGCTGTTAAATACAGCTCTGGAAGAACCAAGTTTGGCACAGTTATAGCTAGTCCAGTTCACAATGTTGATTGGACTCTTTGGGTATGTCTGCACTGCATGAAAATACCTGCATCTGGCCCGTGTCAGCTGACTTAGGCTTGTGGGCCTTGGGCTATGGGGCTATAGAACTACAGTGTAGCTGTTTGGGTCCAGGCTAGAGGCAGGGCTCTGGGATCCCAGGGTGGGGGAGGGTCCCAGAGCCTGGCCTCCAGCCCAAGCCCCAATGTCTGCACTGCAGTTTTATAGCTCCACAGCCTGAGCCCCACAAGCCGAAATCAGGTGACATAGGGCCAGCCAGGGGTGTGTTATTGCAGTGAAGACATACCTATTGATGCTCAGGTTGGGCTGTGTTATTTTACAGATTTGCATTTTAAATGCTAATTATGTTGAACTATAGCACTATTAGGATTATATAGGGTGGACTAGTAGACCCTAGATTTAGGTGACTACCATTTCTCTTGTGTTGTCACCAAGATTTTGGCAACATTCCAAAATAATAACTGAAAATGTACATTCTAATCTAAGGCTGGGCCTATGCTGCTTACAAAATAATCATCAGTAGCAGTACACACACTTCAGTAGGAGCACTAGGATCTGACATCTTGGAGGGGTGGGGGAGAGAGCTGGACTAGGCTTTTTCTAGTCATTTCCCACACCTCCTCCAGACCCAGGACATGGTCCCACTGGCCCATTTCCCCACTTTAGGGGCACCAGTTGGGAAAAGAGCTCTCCCTACCTCCTGGGAGGAGTGGGAAGAGAGGGCTGGGCTCCTCTTGACCGCACCTTGGACTGCTGGGGACCTATGCGGGGTCCATCTTTACCACCCCACCCCATGGAAATAACTGCCTTGTGTTATGTGCAAAAGTTTCAGGGTTCAAACCCCACCAATGATGCATGATGTGTGACATTTACAGTTGCACATAATGCATTTTTGGGCAAATTTACTATTTGCAGAATTTTTTTTGCTGAACTTGAATTATGATACAATCTCTAATTACATGATCACATTCTATTTTTTCCACAGGGCCCTGTCTCATTTGGTGCACAGGATGGATGGTGCTCTGGGGAATAATCAGGGTTCTGTAGTGAATGAAACAGTTTGTAGATTCCCTGCTTCATTTGCTCTAGAAGTTGGAAGATGTGTAATGGTTCAGGGAGGGAAATGCAGGAAGAGAGAGGATGGTCTTGTGGTTAAAGTAGGTGATGGTCACAGGAGAGCTCAGGTCTATCTCTGCCACTGTTCTTGTGCATGACACTGAACATGAAATTTAGATTAAAATTTTCAAAAACACATAAATCCCATTTTCAAAAGAGGCTCTGAAATATTGAGGTCAGTTTTGAAAATGGATCCACAGGCTCTTTTGAAAATTTAAGCCTTAAGTCAACATGTTAGGAGGTAGCTACTAAGTGTGTTCTCTGTGCTGCACTTAAGACCCTGGGGAAGTAGAAGTGTGGAGCACTCAGAACTGCAGCTGTGCATGCTCCACACCTCTATGTTTGGAGCATGGCATTATGGTCTGGAGGCATGTTCACAGTGTGTCATGTGCCTCTGCCACTGACTCATGGACTTGCCTCAGGAAAGTTTCTGTCTGCATTTCACCATCCGTAAAATGGGGATAATAACACTCTCTTATCTCTCAGTGAAGAGAAATTCATTAATGTTTGTGAGGTACTCAGATCCTACAGTGATGAGCAGTCCGGAAGAGACCAGGAGGAAATAAGTCATTTTGCATTAATTGTGTGTCCAGTAAAATAAAGCAGGGACCACCAATTGAATGAGGAGGATAAAAATGATGGTATTCCTGAGTACTATGCATTCTGTACACTGAATGAGGCAGGGCCCCGATTGAAAAAAAAACCTATGTGATCATGTAATTAAAGACTATCATAATGCGTATGCGCCAGAGCCAGAAGGAAGGTTGCACAGGCAACCATAATTCTGGCATTTCTTCACTTTTGAATGCTTGACCATATATAGTTTTTTAATGTAATATATTATAAAGGGTATTAGGATTATAGTATCATGTAAATTCTCACTCTTTTGTGTAAACTAACTTTAAATGAACAGATTTGTTCATTTTTACCTTCATTCTCTCATTAAAATGTACACCAGCTTATGGCTAAAAGTCAGTATTTCACTTTATCTAGATCACTCTAAATCATAAGAAAGTATATTAAAAATACAACATAAAAAGGAGAATAATTTGACAAAAAGTTTCTCTTGCAGGCTGTGAGGTCCCTGAAAGAGACAATCGAAGACTGTTGGGACCAAGATGCTGAAGCTCGACTGACAGCCCAGTGTGCTGAAGAACGGATGGCTGAACTCATGATGATTTGGGAGAGGAACAAATCAGTCAGCCCAACAGTCAATCCTATGTCTACTGCCATGCAGAATGAGCGGTAAGAAGTGAAGTAGTCTGGTGTTAGTCAGCTGTCCTCAGTACACAGGTCACCCTGGGAGTGAGATTAGAATGTTAATAGTAGCTGGGTATTCTTGGGAACTCGCATATTTATATGAACATGTGTGAGCTAGTGTGTATATGGACTTTGCATAGTTTTGTTTCGGTTGTTCACTAACTTACTATATGAATCCACAATTAACTGATTCTTTGTAGCTTTGGGTCCCCAAATTCCCTCAAATTCAATACACCTATGATGTAAACAACTGTATTTTGGAGAGAGAAGATCAGACTTTCTGACGGAGTTATATAGCTACCTGAAAAACAGACTTGTACTTTCACAGTCAAGATAAAGAAGTGATTATGAAGTGTCTTCAAGAACTCTTGCTAAATGATTCGTGAAATTTCTGTTTAAAATGTTTCTGCTAAAAGCTTTGTGTGTTCACTGCCAGCTGAGAGGCATGAGTTCAGGAAATCATTCAGACTCCCAGTCCTGTATTTTTCAATTAAGGAACCACAAGGTCAGCATTGACTTTATAATTATTCTGACCTGCAGAGAGAGACACTACGTATTTGCCTTTTCTGACTGTAAGTGATCCAAAGGGAAGGAGAGTCAGTTGAGTTGATATTAATTCTTTGTGTATGCTAGAGATCCTGTTTGGGGATACTCTTGATACCCAGGGCAGTGTGTTTTATCATGTTAAACTTGTGTTTAAAATTATGTATCATGGATTTTTATCATAATTTGCGACTCCATGATTTTTCCTGTGTCATTTCCTCCATCCTCTCTGCAGGGCTCTCTTCGCCTCCCTCACCCCAAGATCTCTTCACTGCACTTAGAGTGGAGCCTCAGCTGTGAAGTGGGCAATCATCAAATGGGATGACAAAATTCCTTACTTTTGGCTTTAAAAACAATTAAGAGGCTCTGTTACATAAATAATATCCATGATAAAACCTGCTGCCCTACTAGTTCAATTTCATGGCAGCCAGAATTTTTCATGGAAGCTATAGTGTGTTATCAGAACTCCTTAAATAGTTGGTCTTTGGATTATACAAGAAGGGAAAATTAGAGACCTTCAGTGGTGAAAGGCAGTTTGTTTATATATATACATATATATATATATATATAAAAATCTTAATGTCAGACTTTTTCTTTTTCTTTTTTTTTTTAAGCAACCTGTCACATCACAGGCGTGTGCCAAAAATCAGGCCATATCCAGATTACTCTTCTTCCTCCTATATTGAAGACTCAATCCACCACACTGACAGTATAGTGAAGAACATTTCTTCTGAGCATTCAGTGTCCACTACACCATTGACTTCAGGGGAGAAGAACAGAAACTCCATTAACTATGAACGACAGCAAGCACAGGCTCGCATCCCTAGCCCTGAGACTAGTGTCACCAGTTTGTCCACCAACACAACTACCACCAACACAACTGGCCTTACTCCTAGCACTGGCATGACTACCATATCTGAGATGCCTTACTCAGATGAAACAAACCTACATGCTACAAATGTCATGCAGTCTGTTGGACCAACTCCTGTTTGTCTTCAGCTAACAGAGGAGGACTTAGAAACCAACAAGCTGGATCCAAAAGAAGTAGATAAGAACCTAAAGGAGAGCTCTGATGAGAATCTGATGGAGCATTCCCTTAAACAGTTCAGTGGACCAGATCCACTCAGCAGCACCAGCTCCAGCTTGCTTTACCCACTGATCAAACTTGCAGCAGAGGTGACAGGACAGCAGGACTTCACACAAGCTGGGAATGGTCAAGCATGTTTGATTCCAGATGTCCCATCCACTCAGGTCTACCCTCTACCCAAGCAGCAGAACCTTCCGAAGAGGCCAACCAGTCTACCTTTAAACCCCAAAAATTCAACAAAGGAGCCACGACTGAAATTTGGTGGCAAGCACAAATCAAACTTGAAGCAAGTGGAAACTGGAGTTGCCAAGATGAACACTATCAATGCTGCAGAACCTCATGTGGTAACAGTTACCATGAATGGAGTGGCCGGGAGAAGCCAAAGCATAAACTCGCATGGTGTAGCAACCCACTATGCCAATGGTGTAGTGCCATCTGGCCAGACAACCAGTTCAGTGGCACACAGGGCCCAGGAAATGCTGCAGAATCAGTTCAGTGGAGAAGACAGTCGGCTGAATATTAACTCAAGCCCCGATGAGCATGAACCCTTACTGAGACGGGAGCAGCAAGTTGGCCAAGATGAAGGTGTTCTGGATCGTCTAGTGGACAGGAGAGAGCGACCGCTAGATAATGGCCGAACAAACACCAATAACAACAACAGTAATCCATGTCCAATGCAAGACATTACTACACTTGGCACCCAGAGAATGACAACATATCCTGGGCAGACCCAGACTAGAAGAGCACAGAGGCCTAATTCACTAGATCTATCAGCCACAAATACTTTGGACAGCAGTAGCTTGCAGTGTAAGTGTTGACAGGACTCGAAAAATTTCCCAAACACTTTCTTACCTGAGAATTAAGCATATCTGCCTGGATGAAAAATACCTGTATTGTCTCACAGCCCAAATAGCCAACCCCCCCAAATTGCATGTATATTTAATTTCTATTGGTATAATTTCACTCCTCCTATTAAATTAATTTTGTGGCCCCTGGCCTGAAAATATATCAGTTCTTTCTCCCTCCCCCACCTCTGGAATAAATTGGTTCACTTTCTAATCAATTCTGCTTTCACTCTCCAAATCCAATCACTTCTACAGCTCTTCCTCTTTGCAGAGCTTCTCTGCTATTGCTGTCCCTGTTTCTCTCCTGGGCATACTGGAGACCCTAACTAAGCCTCCCATTTTCTCCTCCTGCCCAATGTTTCAGGGTTGTTAAAATAAACGATTTAAAAATAATGGAATATGGAACTAGTTATTGTAATGTCTGGTTGTACTATATTATTATTAGCTTCTCAGAATAAGTACATCTGATTTTATTGTGGTAAGTAACAACAATTACAGTTATATAAGTTACTTTTCTTGAAATATTCCAATCCTGTGAGCTGATGTCTTGATACCCACTATTGGTATGCAGCTCTCACGTATGATTAGCATTAGATACCAGGGCTGAGACCTGGAAGATCAGTATGTCCCATTAGGGGGTTCAGACTAGATAGAAAAACTACAGACTGCTCCAAACTTTTGTCTGAATCCTAGTGTAATAGTAAATATTTCATCTACACTCTGTGTGTGTGTGTGTGTGTGTGTGAGAAGTTAATCAACAGTAGTATAAAGCAACATATTTTTAGATATAAACACATTTAATAGACTTCAGAATAACTGTAATCACCCTTTGGGCTTCAACAGCAAAAGGACACAAGAAGCCACTATTGACTTTTTGTCTTTTCCCTGCAAGGTAAAAGTAATGAAAGGTTACAGCTAAGCTCTCCATTAGTTATAGCCTCCATTAGTTATTCCCTGTTCTGTTCAGTTTTAAAGGGACTATTGAAAAGGCCTGTTTATCTTTCTTTGGACATTTTTTTTTCCAAAATACCCTGTGTTCTTGGAAGGAGCCACGGTAACTGTGATTGGAAGCCTTTGAATGTGCTTAGGCAGACAGAGAATATAATATTAGCGAAGTTATTTGGATGGGGGGGCTTTCCCAGCAGAAACTGAGGAGACACACACGTTTAAGTTAGCAATGTAAAACACACCAATACTTTCTGGAAAGGAAGAGTGCAAACCAGCAACAGAGCACTCATGAAATACAGTTGAATATTCACTGGTGGAATGTTTTTCTAGCTTCATTTTGTTCTAATTTAGTAAAATGAATTGTTGGGTTGTTTTTTGGGTTTTTTTATTGCAGTACTTTTCTCTTACCTCATCCTTTTACAGGTTAAATAAAGAAGATGTAGGGGTTTTGGGGGGTTTTGTTTTGTTTTTTTACAGTCAAATCCCAGTTGCTGGTATTTAAACACAGAAAAGGTGACAAGCAGTTGTCTTAAAGGTTTCACCATCCTAGACTCAAGTGCTGGTTGAGGAAAATCAGAGAATAGAACATTTGGCCTCAAAATGAAAAGCTAGGTTTTGTCTGTGGTCATGTACGTAAGAACCTATTTGCCAGGTAAAATGGAATTTAAAAGGTAAATGATGTAACAATACCATTTAAAAACTCAGCATTCACTGCCCTGTAATATTGCAGTAGCGCCAGGTCTCCCATTCCAAGTACAGAAACATCACATGGTTACAAAAGTCACATGAATGTAAATGCTGAGGGCTAGATTCTGCTCTCTAACACCAGTATATGCATAGGGTAACTGAAGTGACTCCACTGGACTTACTACAGATTTACACTGTAATAATGGAAAGCAGAATCTGGCCCTTTGTTTTAATGGCACCCACTGTACATAAATACTAGTCACCTCTCTTGTCACTATTGCTAGTTTTGACAGGATTTGTTTTTTCAGTCTACATGTACATGTAACCAGCTTGAACTCTCAAGCATGCTCTTGTAAAATTTTATTTTCTACTTTTATTTTCAGTAGGTGACTCATCACAAGATGGCAAACCGGGCTCAGGAGAAAAGATCAAGAAACGTGTGAAAACTCCATATTCACTTAAGAGGTGGCGCCCTTCAACATGGGTCATCTCCACTGAACCACTGGACTGCGAAGTCAACAACAATGGCAGTGATAGGGCAGTCCACTCTAAATCCAACACTGCTGTTTACCTTGCAGATGGAGGTACTGCTACAACAATGGTGTCTAAGGATGCAGGAGTGAACTGCCTGTGAAATATTTTAAAAGCCAACAAAATGACATTTTTGCATTATTTGAAACGAACATGCAGAAGACATTTTAAAAAACTGCTTTCTCCTCCTGTCAGCACCCCCTGCCAAGAACTTGCTTTAAATGGATTTCAGCTATGCAGAAATTTTTTAGCTTATGCTTCCATATTTTTTGTTTCATTTTTTGAATGTTTTTGCACTTTTATTTAGTATCGCTAAAGTTAAGTCTGTCTGTTTTTGACCACAGAATTATATATATGTGTATCAAAAATGTGGTCTCAAAATATTTTTTTAAAAAAAACAACAAAAAAATTTATTGCTGATAATCAGTTTGGACCAGTTCCTAAAGATCACTAAAAACATAAGCAGACTATAAGACAGGTTTGACTGCAGTGGTGTCTTGTATCCATGTTTTGATTTCTGTGCACAAGTTAATTAGTATGTTTCTATGTTACAGAGTGTATTATCTTTTGAATGCCCTACTTTTCTTGTGTTATGTTGAAATGTGCAATAGTCTATAGTTCACAGTACGCTTTATTGGAAAGTATGTTTATAAAACTGCCACACATTCTCCCCCTCTTTGTGAGTATTTGTTAATTTTTTTCCTGTTTGGCAGTTGATCATTCATGACAGTGAACTTTGCACACCATAGCCAGCTTGAAGCAGCTGCCTATATCTATCATTGAGCTCTAAGATTATAATGGAAAATGCATGAATTTTCCCCATCTTGAAAGGACTTTTAAAAGGAACAAACAAAATATGATTTCAGCTGCCTTTCTTTTCAACCTTCCATATCTTAACCAGTTTCCTTCATAGGAGACATGACACCGGAAGGGGAAGCTCTAAGCAAGACAGTGTTGAACAAAGTGTGAGGAAACAAAGTAAGTCTGCCATATTTGATTTTTGCTGCAGTTTCAGTTTGTATTTATGAACATTTTTTATTGAATGCTATTATTGTGTATTTATCAGAAATCCTAATGAACTGTCCTACTAAGATCTTGAGTATACGCAGTTGCATTTTGTTCCTTACAAGAGAAAAAAGCCTGACTTATGATTGACACAAAACAGTCATGTGATGAGCAACTAAGCGTCTATTAAATACCTCTGTAGAGGTAAATATTGAGGTCTGGAGCCATGTCCATCAAATTACATATGCAAGTATGTTTATCCTAATTGGCAGCAGCTGAGTTAAGTGAAAACTAGTTTTCTTAGAGTTTTGTATAGACCTCTTAATTCATCTTGCTATTAGAATTTTAAACATACACTTTTAAAAGTTATGGCCATGAGAGAGAGATTTCAATCTTTTATGGTGAAAACACTCAGAATGTATGTAACACTACATACACTGACTTCATGTATTTGTGACCATTAATCCCTTGAGGTGAGTGACCACAACTTCTTCCCAGGATAATAGAATTTGTCTATTTAAACAGAATTATTTCCTTTCTGGACATTGCACCCACATGAGGCCTTTGTCTCAAGAGTGATTATTTACCCTGCTGAAATAAATTTAATTAGAAGTAATTAGCTAAGAAATTGAAGTATCTAGTGTGGTGTGGCACTGAGCAAAGCTTTGTAGCTGTATTTGAAAACGGCTCATGTCCCAACACCTAAAAAACTGTGGAAAAATTATTCAGTCAGCGTGCCAAATCACTATGGCAGGATGCTAGCAGCCAAGATTTGCCACCAAACTTGCCTTTTTTCAGCTGCCTGAATCTGATTTTCTGTCCTTCCAAGACCATTCATTACCTTGATATTGCTTTTGTACAATCTTTCCCCATACCGTAACTTTTTCTAACTCTCTTCTTGAGCCTCTGATGATTACCTGCCATATGTAATATATGGCCTTCCACATCTGACTCTGTTTCCCAAGCTTCCTTGTTTGCATTCCTGTCTCTCTCTGGCATCTTATCATGCTTCCTAAATGCTGTAGGCCAGATTCTGCTGTCAGCTACACCAGTATAAATCAGGAGTTGCTTGCTTCATTGACTTCAGAGGAGTTACTCTGCTATTATACTGGTGTAACTGAAATCAGACTCTGGCCCAGTGTAGTTGCAGAAGTGTAAATCAGGGCAGAATTTGGCCTCCAGCTCTTTAAGCACTGCCCAGTCCTTGCACCCAAATAAAGGCTCCTGCTTTTCTCTTAGGCACAACTTTGTTAGCCTAATGTATAAATATACAGTTGCTTATCTTTATGTTGCTAAAAGATGTTCTCCATTTTAGTTTCAGTTCTTTCTCCTGCTTGCCATCTGCTGCAATCTAACATCCCAGATATTGAAAACTTGCCACATGTTCAGTTGGCTTGCATTACACACTGATCTGAATTCTTGACACGATAGTCATAACATTGCCTGTGCTTTTTGTTCCTGTTGGAATTTACCTTAACTTGAAATTCTTCACACTTTTTGGATCTATGTGTGAATTTCTGGAGTACAATACTTTGTTTTTTGCAGCAGTCACTGTATCATGTGCATAATGAAGATTGCTCACACCTCGTTTAGTGACTTTTTGCTTTGCCTTAAGTGTAACCTTTATCATCATTTCAGAGCGTTACTTTAAAAAACATCTGTAAAACACTGTGACAGTTCTCGGGGCACCCAGGACTGTGAGTCACAGTGGTTACCCCTTGCCTCCAGCAAAAGGGAGTCTTTCTTATGGTAGCTGGGTGTCAGCTCCTTGACACCATGAGCCTTTCAGCCACTCGAGCACTCTTCTCTAAGCTATACCATCACTAACTTCACCTTGCAGGTTAATAAGAGGTGCACCTCAGTCCCTGGGTCCTTTTGAATTATTCCCCTGCGCTATCCAGCCCCTAACATTAGCTACTCACAGAAATTCCAGACCCGTGCGTTTTATCTTAAATCACTGCACCTGTAAACTACGCAGCACTTGTGAGCACTTATACGAAAACAAAACTAGGTTTATTTAAGAAAGAATAAAGATTTAACTAGAAGTGAGAGAAAGTGATAGAAACAACTTATGACAACACAAACCTGGGTCTACACTTATCAATGGTTACCTTTTCTATATAATAAGGTAGTCTTTCCCCCCAGGGTTCAGTCAATTGCTGAGCTGGCTGGTGTCACAAGAATCAAGATCTAAATGTTCATGAAAGCAACTTGCTTCTTAAGTGGTTTCCTCAGTGAATGGATCCAGAGTGCCTTTTGCTCTTTTGTCTTTAGTCATAGCCCTGGTGATATTCTGCCTGCTGTAATATTCCTTTTTCACCTCCAAGTGGTTTCAATCGTTGGCAATTGTCTTTGACGGTTTTCCATTGACTGTTCTGGGATGTAGCCAGGTTAGATAATAGACCCTTGCACTGCCTTGCCAGCTTACTGGGGAAGAGTGACAACTCTCTTGGTTGAATGAGACATCATCAAAACACTTGGTCCGGTGATTAATTTTTACTCCAAGTCCATAAAGCATACTTTCCGTATAAATACATTAATTCTTAAATATCCATACATACATCTCACAATGATTGAGTCTTGACAAGTTATGAGCTTTCTGTAGCTACCTTTTATGTTACTCTTTATGGATAAATATCCTGTAAGACGTGTTTGGTGCAGTGAGTTTGTCAGGTCTGAGGTGAAAGATGTTTGCAAAGAACAGGGGCCCTTTGCCAAGGAGCCTCTGTATTACACACTCACACTCTTATCTTAGGTTATGTCTACACTATAGCCTATGCCAGCAAAATTTATGTCGCTCAGGGGTGTAAATATTCCATCCTCCCTGTACGACATAAGTTACACCAACATAAGCACTCGTGTGCATATTGGTATGTCGGCGGGAGAGCTTTTAATGCTGACATAGCTTCTGCTGCTCGCAGAGGTGGTTTTATTATACCAATGAGAGATCTCTCTCCTGTTGGCATAGAGCGTCTTCACCAGATGTGCTGCAGCAGCGACATGGCCTAAGTTGAAACATGCTAGGAAAAGAAAAATTATTTACTCTAAATACTGCTGCTTTTTGCCAAGGCTGATTTCACTGGTCTTGTAGCTTTTGTTTTAGGCCAATCCTTTGTAATAATTCAAACTTTTTTATGCTTGATGCAGTCAAAAGTTTTAATAAAATCACTGTACCAGATGGAAAAGTCTTTCTGGCATTCTGCAATTTTCCCTAAGCTTCCTTAAAGCAAATATAACTTTCACGTTTCTCCTGTCTTTCTCGAACATTTTATTGAAAACCTTTGGGGTAAATCACAATTGTCAGAAAGTATCTGTTGTATAATCAGTCTATCATAGATAAATATCATTTGTAACATAGTAGAAATGTGTACACTTTATCCCAATGTGAATTCTAGATCAAAACGAGCAACTTTATTACTTCTAAAGGTCAACCCAAACAGATGATAGGTATATATTAAAATGTTCGAATTTTGCAGAGTTAGATGAGGTAAGACTAAATATGGCTTAATTCTGATATATAATTAGCAAAGCCCTTGTTTTGCTCACAGTAGGTCATCTTATCTTTTCCACAGAACTCAATTCCTGTAATTAAATTACATTGAATTGTAGCTCACAAAAGTACCTTGGAGACTCATACTTAAGGTCAAGTCAAATACAAGAGAGAGAATTCTACAAATCAAACCTATTTTTTAACTAATGTACAGTAAATCAGTTTTGGAAAGTCCAGTTTATTTCTTTGTTAAAAAAAATACAGTGATGGATAATGATGAAAGTTGATAAATTACCATTTTTCTAAATGCATATTGCAGACAATATAAATATATCAAAATGACAATAGACTGATAATGTAAATAGCAATGGATTGTGCCAATGTCAAATAAGCAATGGTAAAATATTTTATATGTTCACTTCTAATATGGAATTCAAATAAAATGTTACAACAAACATAGGTGACCTATCTATGTATAGGCCACTCAGAAATCTTATTGGTTTTAGAAAATCACACATATTAAATCTAAAGGACTTGTCCAGGCAAATATGTTGTCTGTTCACACGTTTCCTACTCCTATGAAGTTCAACATTACACAGTTAGTTTTGAGAATAGGAATTCTAGCCATATGTGTAGACATGCCTATATGGTGATAGATTTATTTTCTTTTTACCAAAATAGAAATTTATGAGTAGATTATGAGGAAATCAGGGGAAATGTTCCAGATAGTGCTCCACAAATGCATGTGTGCATACAGGCTAAATAATTAAAAGATAATCCCACTCTTGCAATTCCCAGGTGTATTTAAATTGCAGAACTAAAAGTAAAGAAATACTTAATTTAAAAGAAAACCAGGATACACTGTGATTATATCATCTTCCAACCCCGGGAATACTTCATTGTAAAAAACACAGATTTTGTCTGTATTATGTTTCGTTAATATAATAGTTCACTTCACAGTTTTTTCTGTCATTCGTTCACATCTAGAAAATTACCTGGTTTTAGTGGCAACACAGTTTTGTTATTTTTTCAAAGTCTATTGGGGCAGAAACAAAAGTGAGAGGGATGTTGGCAGGTTTCAGGGATAAACTGAAAAATGTTTGATATGGAGTTGTTTAGAAAGTAAATATCCTCTCTCCCAACAACTTACTCCAGAAAAGCTCTTTAATCCTGAATGCTACAGGAAAAGATATATAAAAAGACACGAACATAGACATCTATGGAAGAGATTATCAAACAAAATTTGATAAGTAATATATTCTTACTCAGCAGATACATCTTATGTACATAATATATATGCTGCATAGTTTCAGGACCCATTCAGTTTGCTGGACCCCTCCATGTGTTCTAATGACATTGCTAAAGTACTTTTGAGAGAGGAAAAATGAAAAATATACATATTCCACTAGTGTAACACTCATGGAAATATATTCAGATAGTCATTTTCTAATGTGATAAAAAATGAAAACATCACAGCTATTTTGTCCCTTAATCATTATCTACACAGCATAGTCTTTCTGGAAATAGTATATATGCTGTGTGTTTTACTGCCAAAACATATCAGAATAGTGTATTTTTATGTTATCTTTTACGTTATTTGATTTTTGAATATAGATTTACATTCACAGCTTCCAGACCATGATTGTGATCTATATAATCTGTAGTTATGGGTGCTTAGCACCTCTTAGGATTCGACCCTTTATCCATAATGAAATTTGCTTCCCACCTTTTTTGACAGGTTTCAGAGTAACAGCCGTGTTAGTCTGTATTCGCAAAAAGAAAAGGAGTACTTGTGGCACCTTAGAGACTAACCAATTTATTTGAGCATGAGCTTTCGTGAGCTACAGCTCACTTCATCGGATGCATACCGTGGAAACTGCAGCAGACTTTATATATACACAGATGTATATATAAAGTCTGCTGCAGTTTCCACGGTATGCATCCGATGAAGTGAGCTGTAGCTCACGAAAGCTCATGCTCAAATAAATTGGTTAGTCTCTAAGGTGCCACAAGTACTCCTCCACCTTTTTTGGTACATATAAAAAGAGTTCGTAAACCATGGGCCAGCTATAAACACAGAAGTTGTAACCTGAACATCTGTCATGAGTAAAATTCATACATGTAAATCAGTACAGGAAAAGTGTTTTACATTATGCTGTGAATTATACATGCACACAGGCACTAACTTTTGTTTTTCCCGGTGGGTGCACCCTCCCCTGAGGCCCCACCTTCACCCCTCTCCTAACACCCCCCGCTGCTCACTCCTCTCCATTCCCTCTCCTGAGGCTGCCCCAACCGCCGCTCCCTCCTCTCTGCCCCTCCCTCTCCTAGCGCCGGCAGCCAGCCTGAGAGCTGGTCAGCAGCCAGCCCCAGGGCCGGAACCAGTGTGGCTGGTGGATGCTGAGCATCCCAAATTTTTTTTCCGTGGGAGCTTGAGGCCCGGAGCACCCACAGAATTGGCGTCTATGTACTTGCACCAAATAATAGTTCCTTATTGCTACCACAGAGAAAATGACAAAGGAAAAAACAAGATTAAAACAACCTATAGTACAGATTAAATTTGTAGGCTGTGTCCTTATCCAGATGTCAGAACTCATCTGTAACAATCTAACAAAACATTCACCCGCAGATAGCTATCTCATTAGCCTATGAAAACTGGGCTGTAGATCCTTCAGCACTTTCTCTAAAGTCAGATTGTGGAATTTGCACTCAGGTGCGCAGCACATCATTTGCATTTCTCAGCTGCTCATTACATTTTGTATGCATTACTTTTTAACCCTTTCTTACCGCAAAAGCTAGACATACTGCAAGGGAGCCATAACACATTTTTGTCTTTGACATAGTTGTGTATGTATTTAGATGCATATGTGTTCTGCATTAATTCCATTTTTAAATACTATGTGTTAGGTATGAAATAGGCACATATAATGTCCTGATCAAACAGGCAGACTTTTTCACAGGCCATGTTTAAGTTGCGTCTTTTCCATATTGCAATAGAAATTGGACTACAACTATGAAACGAATACAATTCCTCCCAAATACTTAATATCCCTCCGAATGGAACCTGGTCACTGACTATGCCTGGACTGTGTGTACTTTGAAGAAAGGTAAAAAACGGGGAATACAGTTGATATGAAATGCATTTGAAGCTGAATAATTAAAGGTTGTTGGGTTTTTTTTTAAACATTAAAATTAGTCTGAAATAAATCTAAGATATTTAAAGAGTAACATTTGGCATTTTCTTTTACAAGACCTTTGTGATGTTATAGCTAAGGTTATGTGTGCACTTCCAATATAAATCCAATTTTTCACAGGGCCCTAAATCTACTGAAAAAAATTCTCTTCTTGGGTTAAAAGTTATACAAAGCTTCAGGTCAGGAATATATCTGTTTGGTTTTGGTTTTGTGTTTTTAATTTTTAAAATGTAGTTTAGTTTTGGTGTAAAATAATAATTAAACAGATGTAACATTTTGGGCTTCCTTCGGCTCTCGCTGAAGTCAGTGATAAAACTTTCAATGACTTTTGGCAGGATCAAGCTTTTGGCTCTCCTGGGAATCAGAATGGGAATTCTATTTGGTATAACTTTATCTGAGAAATAGTTTGTATCTAATCAGTTAGGACTTGATTCAATTTCCACTAAAGTCAGTGGGAGTCTTGCCACTGATTTCAGTGGAAGCAAGATCAGGTCCCCTGGCCTTCTTTACAGTAGATTTTCCCCCCTTTTATAATTTCTCATCATTGTTACTACTGGTGTAGTGCCAATAGCGGGAATGCTAACGTACACGGGCCACTTCTGGGTGTTGGCATTTTGAGCAGGGTTAGCTAACATTCTAATGAAAGCTGCATCAGCAGGTCCACGCTAGTCCAGCCATGACAGCGGAGCTGCACCAGTGGTAGCACTGGCAGGACATTTTAAGATAAAGGGCCTGTTTCTCATTAACTATAAGGTTCCTTTTTAGAGATCTGGGCTCTGATGTAGTCACAGCCATTGTCCAGGATTCATATTTAAACATGTTTTACTTTATTGTACATGCCAATGCCATTTTAAATAATCTTACTCTGTAGCTCAAGTGGTTTAATTTACATAATTGCAAAATAAAATAGAACCCAATGAACTGTTGACCTGTAATAATCTGAAGTTGACAGTGATTCCAAAGGTGCCATTCTAGTTAATTTCAATACATAATCCATGTTTCAACAAATTCAGTAATTGGCCTAGGTTTGGAAAAGCTCCTTCAAATCTCTTCCATTCTCTTGGGAAATTAATCCATGAGTTTGGGGACCAGGGGCAGAGTTGTAGGGGTGGCTAATTGGCTATTTTACAATTTACAATGAAAAGTCGTGGGCATTCCCACACTTTTGCCATTTTGTTAAAGATAGAAACTAGCTCCTTTCTTTATAGTTTAGTAGTTCGGGGGGCTTCCAAAAGTTAGCTTTTCACAGTTTACTTACTCGTTTTTCAGGCAGAGTAGTAATTTTCAAGATTTCTTTCTGGAGCACTAGATTCAATCTTGTTTGTTCAGAACTTGGTGATGATGTAGTCTGCAGCCTAATCGTAGTATGTTTTAGGCTCCCACATGCATGTTTGGTCACCTCTGAAAGGAAAGGAAATAGTTAATGGGATCAATTAACATTAAGGTTGTGAGGAAAGCAGGTAAGGCCAAGTTAATACTGACTTCATTTGTCACTTTTATTTTCCTGGTTTGTGGCTTTTATTGCTCTCTCTCGCACGCACACACGCGCGTGCACACACACACGAAATACATTTTAAAAGATTTTTGTATGAATTTTTTCTTGTCTGCTTCTTGTCCTTAAAGGAAAATATGCTGTATTCACATTTATATATGCTGGAATCTTACCTCACAATTGTTGCTGGTTACTTTTTTTCCACAATATACAAGGACAATGGCCAAACCCTGATTTGTAGGGTTTGGTGTTTTGCAGAAGCTGAAGTGTGGAGATGTGAAACTGCTGTTCTCCTTATGAAAGAAAGGAAAACTATAACCCTAGAGAGCATTAATTTCTGAATGAGCTTTTCTGGGGGAAATAGTAATTTTGGAGTATCATCAGAACCCTTTTGCTAATGGGTATTGTTGGGTTTTCTTCTCTCAAATTACAGATGAAATATCATGTATGAATTTATAAATAGTTACTTTCAGTTATTTTCCTTTTGTATAAGCTGCCCAGTACCTCGCTATGCTGTATAAGTTGTGTTTTATGAAACAGTGTGAGTATGAACTCTTAAAAGCTAATTACTTTTCCTTTTTTAATCATCTGTGGATGCCACTATGAAAGCTGACATCGATAAGCCACTACAGAGTTTTCTATGAATACTTGTAAGAAAATGCTTTGTTACATATGAACCTAAATAAAAAGATTGTATTGATACAAACACAGGGATAAGAACATTTAAAGACTATTCTTTAGGTTTAAAAGGCTTGCTGTAAAACGGTGCATTATTCCATTTATTAAAGATCATATTCATGACAAAAAGTGTGGACTTTTGTGAGTTTGTGACAGTATCATTAACTCTTATTAGCGTAAGCTGTTCCTAGGTACAAGAGCAAGGCCACTACTGTGGAGGGGGAGGTAGGTAAAATCGTACTGGCTAAATCATGTGACCGTTGTAGAAGTTTTGGTCTTGATCCTGCCCAGAGGAAGTGTGCAGTATTGCATGTATTAAGTACTAACCAAACAAAAATGAACAAATGCGTTCAAATGATTTCAGATTAAAACTGGAATCTTTTCCCATCACCCATAAATAGGAAGTTCATCATTTATCAGTTGGATTTGGCCAAAAGTGTTTACACCGTGCTGAACTTGGACTGAGTGCATGAATCTAATCTTTTAGCTCCAAAGTCTACCACCAAAGCAAAATCAGTTGTAGTTGGGAGTTTATCCTATAGCAGATATAATTAAACTTTTTAGAGGAAGGGAAGAACGTCTCACTGGTTAGGGCACTCGCGTACGACTTCTGAGACCTGGGCTCAAGTCTCTGTTTTACCACAGACTTCCTGTGTGACCTTGGACAAGTCACTTGTCTTTAGGTCCCCCATTTTCAAAATGAGGATAACACCATTGAGAGATAAACACATTAAATACTGTGAGGTGCTGAGATTGATGATAATGGAGGCCATATATGTACCTGAGAGAGAGAGGGTCTCATTATTTCCCATATAAAGCAATGATTCTCCTTATGGCCCAAGGTGTGTCTGCCTCTGCAGGCTAGAGTAGAAAGTGCGGCTGTAACCCAGAATACCTTGCATAGGAGGCAGCACACATTGAATGCCATGGGGGGAGAGCCAACATGCACTGTACACCCCATGTTGATACTTGGCATAAACCTCTTAACCTGCCAAAGCCCAAATGTGAGAACCAAAATGAAGGCTGCAAACATGTTACTACTGGAGGAGCACAGGTGCTGCCATATAGGACAGTCCATCTAGTGCCATGTTCTGTGTCCAATAGTGGCTAGTAACTACTGCTTCAGAGGAAGAAATCTGTTTTAGAGGAAGGAACTACTGCAATAAGGAGTTATGAGAGAACCTGCATCGAGGGGGAAAAGTTTGCTCCCAAGTTCCAGTAGCAGTTACCTTGTGCCTGAAGCTTGAGGGTTTAATGCCTTCTGAACTCCATGTTTAGTTTATTAATATTTCCTAGTATAATTTTAGCTATTCCTGTTGTTCACATACATCTAATCCTTTCTGAAGCCTCTGGATCCTTCACATAAAAGGGACATGGAAAATGGCAAGCTGGATATTAAAATCATTATTGATGTGGGAAAAGTCTGGAAACTTACTTCTAAATCACATTGCCATGAAGCATAAAACAAATCTTATTATCTTGCTACTGTGCTTTTGTTAATTTGACTGAATCTAAGCTACACATTGAAACTACAAAGCCTGTTGTGCTTTGCTCATGTTAAGAGTGTGAGAGAAATTGTTACCATTTTTGTTTTGGTCTGTACGTGAATAGTTACTGCAGACCATTTACTTTTATTTCATATTTGCTTCTCTGCAATTCTGTATTTGGGTCTGTTTTCTACCCCCAAATAAAAATATAATTTTTTTAAAGGCACTTTGACTCACGCTCTGATGTTATCTTGACTGTGAAATACACAGTCTAGAGTCAAAGTCTCCATGAAAGAGAGAAAGCACAGTGTCGTGCTCTGTTGCACTCTCAGCGTGTGGAAAGGCAAGGAGATATCTTACATTTATAGGTGCAGAACACCTCCCTGACATTTAAACCACAGAAGGGCAGTGAAAGCTGAGGACACGGTACAAGACCCAAGCTGGATTTTCTGGGGTATGTCTATCTATTCTTTGGTTATTCCAAATTTCTGGCCAGAAATTTAGAGGGGGTCATCCCCAGGATGTCAAAATCAGACTGAGTTATCTCCCAGGCAGATCTTGATGCCCAATCTCACTCAGGCTCTGTTGGGTTAGGTTTACTCTACTTTGTATCACCTGAATTGTCTCTGGGGCAGTAGTGCACTACGAGGGAGGATGAGACAACCTGTCCTTCCCTTCTTTCTCCAGGCTGAAGGTAGCTTGTTTGGAGTTTCTTGCTCTTCTATACCTGCAAGGGTAACAACGAGATCTGGTTCCATGATGCACTACATAAGACCATACCGATCTGAGACCTTGTCCTCTAGCCCCTATTACTTTTCTTATTTAAATCAAGATGTGTTGGTAGAGAGTGGGCACACAGTACCAGTAGCTGCTAGACTGCCATTTGCCTGTATTTGCTGTGTTTCCAAACCCAGGTGGGAGTCTGAAGCAGTTGGACAGCAATCCTCATTGGCTCAATATAGCTGAACAGTGGAATGCAGCCATGAACTGGGCAATGCTGTGCAAGAACAAGGGGGCCACCACTAGAAAGTGATGTTGTGAGAGGAAACCGCCTTATTGTCTTCATAGTGCATACACATTCACTGGTGCACTCACTCTGCTCTTCTCAGGCCAAGGGCACCACAAACTGCACCCTGTGGGGTCCGGAATGGACTGCAGATGAGGAAGCCTCCAATAGCACCTAAACTCAACTACTGCCATGTGACCTGAGTTATAAACACTTGGAGCCAGAGCTGGTGATCCTTCCACCAATCCAAGAGCAGTCAGGAGCCCAGATTCCACAGAAATCATAGCAAGAGCAGGATGAATAATGTATTTTTTCATTCACTGGTGTAATCAAGTCCAGTCATGGCTAGTCGCCTTCTCAGGGCCAAGCGGGCTGCACACCTCTCTGTCTAGACTAGCACCCCTTGTCAATGGTTGCGCCAGTGCTCTAGCGGTTTCTCTCCCTGGTAACACGGCCCTCCGACCAGGTCACATCTGTAGTTCACCCCTTCTGGGGTCCCAACTGTCCCAAACTAACAGTCGGAAAATATCTTTAGCAGAAACAAAAATCCTTCCAACCCTCTCTGGGGCTCTTCAGCAATATTCCCTAGGGAGAGGAGGACACCCCCAAGAACCCCTAGACCAGGGGTGGGCAAACGTTTTGGCCCGAGGGCCACATCAGGGTGCGAGGGTGTATGGAGGGTCGGGTAGGGAAGGCTGTGCCTCCCCAAACAGCCTAGCCCCTGCCCCCTATCCGCCCCTTCCCACTCTCTGACTGCCCCCCTCAGAACCCCTGACCCATCCAATCCCCCCACTCCTTGTCCCCTGACCATCCCTTCCCAGGACCCCTCACCCCAACTGCCCCCTGGGACCCCACTCCCTATCCTACCCCCCGACAGGCCCTCTGGGACTCCCACACCTAGCCAACCCCCTGTCCCCTGACCGCCCCCTCCAGAACCCCTGACCCATCCAACCCCCCAGCTCCTTGTCACCTGACTGCCCCTCTGATCCCTATCCACACCCCTGCCCCTGACAGGCCCCCCCGGGATCCCACCCCCTATCCAACCCTCCCCGTCCCCTGACTGCCCCGACCCCTATTTCCACCCCGCCTCCTGACAAGCCCCTCGGGACTCCCACGCCTATCAAACTGCTCCCTGTCCCCTGACTGCCCCCTGGGACCTCCTGCCCCTTATCCAACCCCCGCCGCTCCCTGCCCCCTTACCATGCAGCTCAGAGTGGCAGGAGCTCACGGCCCAGCCAGAGCCAGCTGAGCTGCCCGCGTGGCTGCGCGGGACGGGGGACAGCAGGGGAGAGACCGGGGGCTAGCCTTCCTGGCCAGGAGCTCAAAAACTGCGTCAGAGGGGCCAGCAGGCTGTAGTTTGCCCACCTCTGCCCTAGACAATGCCGCTTTCTAGGGGATCCCTGGTATTTATGCCCTACAGTGTGACTTTAAATGTCTTCTTTATCAATCAGTTATTGTTATTTTTGCATCTGTTCTGGCTGAAAATCCTGTTTGGAATATTTCAGATCTGTGACATTGATGAAACAATGGTTAGAAATATCAAACAGAGTAATGAAATTAAATTATATGGAAAATGCACCTGGCAAGTGTCCATGCCCTGAGATGGCAGCAGAGCGACCCAAGTGAACAATCAGACACTTTCTTTGCAGAGGCTAAAATGGTCATCTTCACAAACCCATCCATGTCCAGCAGCAGCCTAAGTAATCTGAGGTCTCTGAAATCAAGGTGAAATGGAAAAGGACCAAGTGAGAGCTCTGCAGTGGGGCCATGGATGAGCTGAGCCCCACACTACAGAGATGCTGCTGGAACTGATAGGAGAACAACTTACGGTCCCGCCCTCAGTTAGGATTTTCTCTTTAAACTTGCATCCTGATTGTTCCCAACTCCTCCCTCTTCCCTCCAGGATTCTCTATGGGCAGGACAGGCTTTTCCTGCTGTCACAGCAAGAAAAGAATCTGATACTTCCAGGGTCCCACCCCTGTCTCCATGAGGTCAGTGTTCTGTGACAGTTGGGGCAGGATCTGTGGCAGGAAGGGAGGTGGCCTTGCTCCGTGACATGGAAAAGAGAGTGGCTGGGCAGCAGCCCCATTCTCTGCTATGCCCTCCAGAGCCTCCCTCCGGTGCAAGACCTGTTGGAAAGAAACTTTTGTTTTGGGGGAGGGGGAGAAGACTTTGAAAATGTCTCTCTAGATGCTGTCCTGCTCCCAATGGTGTCAATGAGGGACTCACTCTTGGCAGATTGTCAGTGAGGTTCCAGTGGAAGCAGGATCAGACCCTAGATTTCATGCAGAGGAAAGCTTATAGATCTGTCAAAGCTTTCAAACTCCTAGACAAAGATTTAAGCCCAGAGAGGACTGCACCTGGCAGAAGGTACTCTAAGGCAAAGCACAGATGGCCTGTGGCTTGGAAGCACATGAAAAGCTGGATCAAATATGAGTATCTTCTCCTGACTGACAGCTTCTAGTATCAACTTCTGTGACATCAGGTTGCAAACACAAAACAAGATCAGAGCCAATGGTATAGTCAGGAGGAGAGTAAATTCCCTCCAGCATTTCTAAGGGCAGCAAGAGCCACTTGAAGCTTCAGGTTTCAGAGGAACAGCCGTGTTAGTCTGTATTCGCAAAAAAGAAAAGGAGTACTTGTGGCACCTTAGAGACTAACCAATTTATTTGAGCATGAGCTTTCGTGAGCTACAGCTCACTTCATCAGATGTTTACCGTGGAAACTTTCCACGGTAAACATCTGATGAAGTGAGCTGTAGCTCACGAAAGCTCATGCTCAAATAAATTGGTTAGTCTCTAAGGTGCCACAAGTACTCCTTTTCTTTTTTGAAGCTTCAGTTACTCTTGTAACCAGGCTGGGTCCTTCTGCTTCACGCATCCAACAGGACAATGTAGAACATGCAGCCCCTTTCATTAGCCACTTTTGAGTAAGCTGGATGCTCCAGCCCGTAATGAAGTCTATGCTGGGCCCTATCCAATGCTTCTGTAAGGCTTAGAAATGGGATTTCCTTATGGCACCTCGTTTCTGTTTAAGGCAAATGGCTGTACTTTCATGCATCACAGCCCCTGACTTACTTCCCACTCACCTTTCTGTGAGGTCCCATCCCGTAGCTCTGACCTCTCCATCGTTTTCAGAGTCACCATTTTCCTCAGAGGCCTGTATTCCGCCAGGAACACCTGAAAGAGGGGACGGGCAGTGGAATTAGTCACACAGCTGAGTGTCACTTTTTAAGGGCCACTCTCGTACGTCTTTTAGGAAATGTACCTTTCTAAACCAGCCTTTCCCCCGGACAGCAGAGAACCAGAAGTGCCACAGCCACAGGGAGATGCTCTGAGATCTGTAAGACACAGAGTTAGCAATTAAGGGCTTAGAGCATTGCAACAAACTGCAAATTGTGGAGAGTGACCATGAAACTAGCCAGACAATCCTGGAGTTCTTGATACCTTCCCTGCAGCTCAGACTTCTAGCCACACTCTGGAGAAGCTAGCTGCTCCAGTGCTGCAGAGCTGGAAGATATGCTGCAAGAGAGTGCAAGTCACTCTGGTTATTTACTGCCTAGTACTGTGCCTATTAATTGCGGCTGGTTTCAAGGATGCTGGAACAGGGGAGGCCAGAGGGCCATGGCCCTCCCACTTTTTACCAGTCAAAAGGGCGAGCGATGCGGGGTGGGAGCAGAGAGGAGCGAGTGGGAGGCGAGGTCTTGGGAGGAAGAGGCAGTGCAAGGGCGGGGTCATGGGGGAATGGGCAGCGTGAGGGCTTGGGGAGAAGGGGTGAGGCCTTGGAGGCAGCACAGAGGGGTGGGGCCACAGTTTCGGCACCTGTGGCTCCCACACTTTTAGGGCGCCTCTACTGCTCCTGGGCTGGTTTGGCTCATGTGGCAGCATCTCCACTTTCTCCATGTAAGAATTTGCCAGCCAGCCTTCCCTGCTCCTCAGCAACATCTCTGTGACCCGCCCCATTGGATGGGTGGGGAAAAGACAATGGCAGCGGAGCTAAAAGCCAGCTGTACTGCCGCTGCTTGGAAGAACCAATGAGCAGTACATGGCTGTAGTGCGTGTACTCACCCTACTGCTCCCTGGGGGACTGTGGAGTCTGATATCTCAACCTTCTGAGAGAGTGGGTGGCCATATCCCCTGGCCAGTCTGTTCTGTTCCCAGTCCTGCCTTCAGGAGAGAAGTACGCAGCAAAGGGGACAGAATCTGTAGATCTTTGATGTTAAGACCCTGAGTTTACTCACTGTGTCAGTGGAAGGAAGAATCTGGGCTCTTTTGTTCACGTTAACAGATACATAATGTAGTTATAGTCCCTCCCCCGACAGGAGAACCCAGCACTTAGGGAAATGCTCCTCTTGCACCCCATTGTTCCTAGCTCTATCCCCTGGAACTACTTTTGGTGCTTACACCCTTCAGATGTTTGAAGTGTCATGTTTTTGGTTAGCTACACTTATTTAGCTTTCTTCTCACTTGTCCATCTCTCCCTCTCCCTAATGTTTTTCATTCTCTGGACTCTTTCCACTTTGCCAATATCTCCCTGTTACTGAGCTAGCCACAACTGGGCACTAAGTTCTAGGTGTGATCACTACAGAGCCCTCTTTCAAGAGACTTTGCCGCCTAGCAGCCCCAAATTGCTCCAATCCACTGACTTCTACCAGCTCCTGTAGAAGCTTCAGCTTATGGAGCTTCCTTGAAGTCTGGTCCCACACCTTAGAGAACATAAATGAGCTGCGTGAACACTGTGATACACACCTGACAAGAGCAAGGAGACATTCAATGACATTAAAAGGTGGCAAAATCTGAATTGGTAAAAGAATGTACTTTTTCACACAATGGGTAATTCAATTGTGGAACTCATTCCCACCGGATATCATAGAGCCGAGAACTTAGCATGATTCAAAAAGGGATTGGTCATTTATATGGATAACAAGACTATCCAGATTTATCATAGTTAATTATAGCAAACATTTTGGAAAAGCTATCAAACCTCATGCTTCAGGATTTAAGCCAATCTCTACCTATTAAGAGAGCAGGATGAGACTTAATGAAAGAGAAATTGCCCTATCTGGCACTGTGGGGTTCTTACATCTTTCTCTGAAGCATCTGGCACTGGCCACTGCCAGGGACAGAAAACTGATCCTTAGGTCTGATCCAATATGGTCATTTCCATCTTTCTACGTTCTTGCAATACAGGATTTCAACGCAAAATTCAACTATACTGTTATCCACCTTTGACCACTAGATGTCTCTGATTCCATATTCCAAGTACAGAGTACTGTAGCCTTTTTCCCCCTTTACAATTGCTGTGAAACGCTAGGATGCAGGTACTGAAAGGTATTTAGATGCCTAACTCCCATTGATTTAATGCAAGATAGATCCTCAAAGGTATTTAAGTACCTGGGCCTAGATGCCTGTGTCTTCTAGTTTTTTAGTTTCTAGCAACATGAACAAACTAACATGAATAAGTTTCCAGCAGTAGAATTTTCTTTTCTGTCCATGAAAAGAGTCCTGTAGTTGTCCATCTCTGCTGCAGCAGTGGTATAAGTCATGTTAAAGGAGAATTACATAGCAGGAAAGAGCACATTAGATGCCACATCTGAACAGCGTATGGTATAAATGCTGTTATCAGTAGTGGAAGAGAAGTTTCTAAATCCCCGTAGATTGCGTTGGAAACTCTCAAAAGATCAAACTGTCCCCCTCCAAGATGAATCTACAGGGAATTTCTGACAACAAATGTAGACAACATGGCAGTGCAGTTCAAAATTAGTGGGCTTCTACTCAGCAAGATGGTGAAAAGGAAACGATACATATTGAGGCAATCCTTATGTCAGGCTGAGACTTTACCAAACTACATAAAGACACAACTATAACTTTGTGGTAGGCAATTTCAGTTTCATCTCCACCAAGTATTTCTAAGCAGATCTTTTCCCAGAGACAAGAACTCCACCCTCCTTCTGCTAGAGTCTACTCAAATAGAGCTAATTGGTTTGTCCAACTAGAGGATTAGTACCTATACAACCAAAACTATTCCAAAATCTCTTCCTTTATAATGTGTAGAGGCCATATTGATTTGTATTTCATACTCCCTTTAATGTTATATAACAACCAACAAAACAAGACTGTGAACTCTTGAGGGCAAGGACCATGTTTTTACGACATTCTCTAAAACACAAGTATCTGTATAGCCATCTGCTATTAATCATTTATAGGTCATTTATCACCACAGTATGGTAATTGGATGATATCTGAGCTGCCATGGTTATTTCCTATTCTAAATATACTCATGGTATGGATAACTTTTAATAGCAGCCACTGTAAGTGCCACTAATAAAGCGTTCTCTCTCCTTATTCAAATGGAGTCTTCTGTCTTGACAGTGGAACTAGAGAAACACACTTTACATCTCCATATAAATATGGGTCCCACTTCAATTGTGCTGCTATAATAAGCCATGTGACTAGGCTTTAAAAATCTTAAACTTTCCCAAATACACTTAAGGAAAAATAATTTGCTTGCTCATGGCTATGCCCCATGTTTAAAATTGGAAGATGCACTTTTTATCTCCAAATACAAATTAACATTCAGTACATTGTCGGCAACAGGTAAACTTTTATATTTTATTTTCTTGTGCTTTGTTTAGATTGAAGAGGGGCTAGTGTCTGACTCCAAAATCAAAAATCAGTATGCTTCAGGAATCCTGTGGATAATATCTTTTTACTGCTGTTGAACCTCTCCCCAAACAGAAGTCCATAACAGATTTCAGTCGCTTCATTCTAGTTAAGGGAAAATGGACCACATTCCCTTCAGATGCTTTCTAGGCTGCTCCTTATCAGGCAGAGGGATGAGTTTTGAGTAACCCAAGTCCCTCATTCTCCTCAATAGCTGAATCTTGCCCACAATGAGGCTGTTTTTAAAGCTGTCTCTTAAATCAGATCATGACTTCATTATGTATGCTATAACCATGTAAATACATGTAGTGTGTTGACTCTTAAAGAAATTAGCCTGGTGCCTCTTCCTGAATAATTACTTTGTTATAAGCGGGGTGAAACCTTGTTATGGGGTTGCTCAATGAAATTATAGGTATGAACTTACTCTTCAATGAACAAAACTGCAAGGTTAAGGCTACTGGCAGAAAAAAAGACTGGGAGAGACATACAGCTGGAAGGAGCAGCATAAAGCACAGGATCTAACCCATGAAGAAACCTGTGGAAGAGGTTTTTGGGGTGTGGGTGCAGGCTGAAAAAAGTATGCTTGGTACTGTGAAGAAAAAAAGCTATTTCCTGTTGTTTGATTCTCCTCTGCATTCAGAGACACAGGATTTTCTGCATTCTTTGTAGATAAACAAAACTGCATCAAAGAAATACACGACTATCACTAATTTCTGCTCCCAAATGGAACATCCCCAGATCTCCAAACTTTAACTACTTACTTAGGTCAAAAGGGGCAATAATATGTTGCATATGGTGGGCTTGCAGGTGGAAGTACTGTCTGCTTTTGTAACACGGTTACACGGGAAAACAGGGTTTGCCAGACAAACATGTATTATCTAAATGGAGGTAAGTGGATCAAAGCGTTGGGATACTGTTTTATATTAAAATATTTTTTAAAAGACTTTAATAATGTAAATGTGCTGGTGCTTCTTGTTCAAATTTGTAACAGGATTTTATTTATGGTATCTACTTTGAGTTATATTCAAGCACACATCTATTGCTCAGCTTGCGTTTACATAAGTTAAACCACATAATATCAAAATATCTCACATCCTTCAGTCCATCCACCTCCCCAAATGCCAAGAAGAAAAATAAGTTTTACAGCTCTTCTGGAAGGTTAACAAATTGAGGATCTTGCAGACCTAGGTGCAAGTTTCAGAATCAAGGAAACGTCACAGTCCAAAGCTTTATTAGCAGTCCCTCCTGTTAAAAGAGAGACCAAGATGAAATCTAATCAGCTAAAAAAAAAGTAAAGTAATTGAATATTATGCCTGCTCCTGAGTCCCCCTAGGGGAATTGACTATACAGGGGATTCATATGCAAAATTCTGTCAAATGGTTGTGGGGTGGAGTCTGATTTTTGGATTAGAATTAGAATTCTCTAATCTTTTAATTACAGCAATCATAGATGTTATTTGTAACAATAGCAGGTTAAAAAGATTAAGACACAAGTGTGACTTCTAAAGCATCCCTTTAAACCTGGAAGAGCTCGAACTCTATTGCTTACCATAATGGCTGTGCTGTTGCATGGGGAAAGAGGCAGTATCTTTGGTAGCCTCCTAACCCATTGATTTAGGTTTGGGACAAAGCTGTAATGTGTTTTGAAATTATTTTGAGTGTTGCCTGTTTTAACAGGT